TAAGATTTTTTGTGAGTATATGTGGTGATATATTGTGTCCCCAATATATTGGGTACCCTAATTAAGTTTATCTGAGGATCAGAGGAAAAAGTCAGCCATTAGAAGTAAACAATGAAGTCAAGCAATGGTAGCACTCGGGAGGCAGAGATCTGTCTGGATCTCTGTGAGTTCAAGACCACACTGGGAACAGAGCCAGGAGTAGTAGTACATACTTTTAATCCCAGCACTAACCATAAAGGTCTGGAGGTCTGTACAGACAGACAGGAAGTGAAAGAGCTGGGCAGGAAGAGTAAGTGATGTAGCTGGGTGGAGAGAGGAAATGAGATGGCAGAACAGAAAGGCATATAGGCATGGGTATACAGGAAGTAGCTCTCTTTGGAGACTGAGGTATTGGTGAGGTGAGGTTGTCTGTGGCTTGTCCTATTCCTTTGATCTCTTGGTTTTTCACCTCAATATCTGACTCTGGGTTTTTTATCAATAAGACCATTTAGCAATTTGTCTTACAAGTATACAAATATTCAGATTTTCAAAAAAAATCTCTGAGCCCGGTGATGGTGGTACACAACTTTAATCCCAGCATTTGGGATGTAGAGACAGGCCAATCTCTGAGCTTGAGGCAAGCCTGGTCTACAGAGGGAGTCCCAGGACAGCTAGGGTTACACAGAGAAACCCTATCTGGAAAACAATAACAAACCAAAAAACAAAGAGCCCCCCCCACCAAAAAAAACCCCAAAAACAAACAACCCCCCCCAAAACCCAAAGCCCTCAAAACAAAACAAAACTCAGAAAACAAAACAAAACCAAAACCCCAAATCTGAACTAGGTAGATAGACTACATTTCAGAAATAGAAAATAAAATTTTTCTATTGAGGCTCAGTTCAAGTAGAGGGTAAGGCGTTGTTCTTGTCTCCTTTCCGTGACTGTGATAAAACACCCTGACCAAAAGCACCTTAGGGAAGAAAGGGTTTTTTTTGGCTTGTGGTTCTGGGTTACAGAGGGGGTCACAGCAGCAGCAGGAACCCGAGACAACCAGTCACTTCACATCCACCGTGAAGAGCAGAAAATGATTGCACCGCTGCTCACTACGCGCTTTCTTCTGACTTTCTTCACTTACGAAGTTCAAGGCCCAACGCAGGGAACGGTGCCATGAGGAGGATGGGCCAACTACCCATCAAGGCAATTCCCACAGACACGTCCGCAGCCAGTCTGAGCTACATCTCTAGACGGAAACTCCCTTTCCAGGTAATTCAAGGTTGTAGCGGGTGGACATTTAAATTAACCAGTAACGCAGCAGTAACGTGCAATCGTCATGGCAGAAAATATTTACACACTATAAACTGGACAGGGAAAGCAGTTATCGATGTACTCAAAATTTATTAGAAAAATCTGATGACTGTTAGTTCCTCGAGGCACAGGAGTGGCCAGGCCCCTCCCCCTAGGACCTCTAATGGCCAGGTTCCACCCACAGAATACTCTAACTGCCCCTAACTGCTGGACCCGGTCCCCACCGTACAAACCCAGTCTCTGGATGTGAAATCCCACCAATCTCCACCCTGGAAAGCTCCACCCCCTCCCCAAGAAACTCTGTATTTAGTTTGCTGCTGTTTCTCGACTGACAGAGGCAGCCAACCTCGTGTTTTTTTTCTCCCTCCCAATAAATTTGTGTGAGGTTTGTTGTGTGGTGTGACTTGGTGGTATTTCTTGGCACCTGGCTGCCAGGATACCTTTCCATCCAAGCTGTAACGCTTACGATGAACCCTGATCCTGGCAGGCATCTCTGGGAAATACAATTTTTGGAAACCCATTCCTGAGATAAAGTTACCTTTATGAAATCTTAATAGATCCTTTTGGGAGGAACCAAAATGTTCCTACATTCCTAATATCACAGAATTTAGCCTTTTTAGAAAATCTGGAAATAAAATGGAAGTGTCTTTATCTGAACTCATGTTCTTGTTTTTAACTAAATGGCATTTCATATAGTACAGCTGAGAAAATGGCGGCTCTAGATTTTTTTTATAATAAATTGTAACTTAAGCAAAACAATAACCTTAATACTAAAGAGGTTTTGCTGTTCCTAATGCAATTTATTATATTCCATTCTGATCACCCACCCCACTTATGTAAATAGTGGGGTTATAATGAAAATAACATCAAAGTCCTTGGCACCACATGAAAATATCCTGACGTTAGTCATGCTTGCAATCCGGAACTTAGGGCTGCATGCTTTTTATTCATTGGGCAATGAAGGAAAAAAAAATAGAAACTGCAAGTATCAGAGACAAACAAACCAACAAACAAACACCATGAAAAGATTCACCCCACTAATAACTCAGAAATGAAACAGCAAGATTCTCAACATAATAGAGCAGAACGATGTTATTTTTTAGCTAAGTCATTACACATCCATCAAAAACTGAAGGCATTCGAAACCGTTGTTTATTCTAGCTCCTAAAAGATTTTTTTTTTTAATTTTGTTTTTCAGTGCTATGGATTATGGCTTCACACTAAGCTACATCCCCAGCCCTAAGAACCTTGTAAAATAGAGGTATCGTTATGAAAACTACAGAGAAACTTGCTGTTTTGCAATTACATAGTTCAATTCTGGGCAATTTTCACGAACATTTTCACAATAAATGATATTATTTTGATGCTCTAAACACTTTAGACTATAAACATGGTCCCATAATTGCTTTTATATATTTGAATGGGTTAAAACCTTATTGAGCTTTGATTTTGCTATTAATGTATTACTGTGCTATTTATTTTAGTCACACTCTTTAAGGAAATCTTTCCCAAAGAAAGGTGTTCTGTCATTAATATTTTCTTTTTTATGTGCGTGCGTGTTTCCCCTGCATGTCTGAGCACACTACTTGTGCACCTGGCACCCGGTGAAGCCGGAAGACAGAATCAAATCCCCCGGAATTGGCATTACAGATCCTTGTGAGCTTCCATGTGGATGCTGGGAATCGAACCTGGGTCCTCGGAAAGAGCAGCCAGTGCTTTTAGTCTCTGACTCAGCTCTGAGATCACCAAAGAAAGTTTTTAGTTTTTAGGAAGGCTTCTTCTTGGGTCATTTTTTGAGCACACACTCACTCCCCTCCCCCCAATCAGTAGCAATAGGCTCTGGCCTTTATGTGTACCAGTTTGGTTGCATAATCGCATTGGGCCATGCCTTGTTTCTCAGCCTTTTGTAGATATTGCACAATGCTGTCACTGGACGCCAATGAGGAGCCTAGGGTGACTGTCACAGTTTCCTTGTTTTTCTAACAGGATGAGGACATATAACCTTAGTGTTTCGCAACCTTATCAAAATATATGTTGATGTAAATCATAAATCAAGCTCATTACTTCCCCCCTCCCGCTCCAGCATTTCTTTTCCGTCCTTGAACTGGGAGCATCCACCTTGCCAACTACTTCCCTCCTGGGAATTTATTACCCAATGTTACAACCCTATGGCTTGACACAGAAACGTGAAATGTCCCTTCCTCCCGTACTTGTTCCTATTTTTTGACAAATTTATTTGGCACAAGGATCTTCTCGGTGAAAGGTTTTTATAAAAAGCAGGTGGCTCAGCCACGCTCCCTTCCACTGTCATAAAATGTATGGTTTCTTCTCGGATTACCCTTGGAACACAGTTACCCTTCATCTTTATGAGTCTTCTGCTCAGGACCGAGCGCTGAGCAAAGGCCGCTTAAATCCAAGAACCCCTGCGACAGAGACTTGCGGCTATGAAGCCTGGATGGAGTTGCTGACTCAGAAACTACCAAAGCGTCTGTCGGTCCGATACGGTCCCCACGCTGGGATAAGAATCCGAATCCCACACTGGAGGGAGGGATCGCCCAGGCGGGGCCGGGAGGACCGCCCCGCCAGATTACCAGCTGACCTGCTTGCAGATCGGAGACCCAAACGCAAAGGGAACTGCAGCTGAGAACGTCTGTGGCTGCCCAAACCGGGGCGGGGCGGAGCGAAAGTGTGCACATGCGTAGTGTCCACACGCCCAGAGAGAGCGGGGCGAGCATCTGGCCGCGCGTGCGCCTTGAGTCATCCTGAGCCTCTGCGATGGTAGGCAGGGTCCCCGGTGTGTAGCGGGATGGTTCCACGGTGCCAGGTAAGAGCTGGTACGCGCGGGCGAGCTAGCCCAGGCTCAGGGCTCCACCACAGGCTCGGTCCTGCTCGGGAGGCCCTTCCTTCCCATCCCGTCCCTGGCTCCGCGCCTTGAGCCTGCAGCTCACTGAAAGTCAAGTTCTGTCCCTGAACTCTGGTGTCCAGGTCGTGGCCTGCATGACCGACTCCCTTCTGAAGGCTTCTAGACCTTTTTGTTTAACTGCCGTTCCTGATGGATTCATTTCGACAGAGACACACTTCTTAAAACGCACCAAATTAAGAATTACTGCGAGGATATGTGCGTCCCCTATGGGTTGACAGGCCCTGGATAATTTGCAGGACCCCGTGATTATTGCGTAGAGACCTAAGTTGTACTGAATGACAAGTAAGCCGTTTTGCATGGTCAGGTTCCTTGGTTCCCAGGCTGATTGCACACAGGTTCCTTAGTTCCCAGGCTGTTTGGCCTAGGAAGTACCAGTTTATCCAGTAATTCAAGCCCATTTGCTTTGCTGCATGTCACGTTTTGTGTGTTGTGTAACTTGAATCAAAGGTCACTTGACCACCGTGAAATGAAAGCTAGGCCTTTGCTGTTTGAGCAATTTATTTTACTTGTGTAATTCACTTCCTGACCCAGACCTGTGCTCACTGCTTTAGGATGTATGGAAGAGTCAATTCTATGTCAGTTGAAGTCAGACTTACCCATGTTTTCTAAGGAAGTGTCCCAGGATTGACTGGGGCCACACAGGTTTCTGACAGGTTTAAAAAGTATGCAGAAATCAGAACTGAGTTTAAAACTTTTGTCTCAGATATGAATCTGTGGCAGTGTTGGAGTTTTATGGGCAATTACATTTCTCAGTGCGAGTTGTTTAAAGCATCCTTTCTCGTTTCAGATTGAAGTGTTGTATTTTGCAAAAAGTGCCGAAATAACCGGAGTTCGTTCAGAGACCATTTCTGTGCCGCAGGAAATCAAAGCGGTTCAGCTGTGGAAGGAGATAGAGACCCTACACCCTGGGTAGTTAAAGTTGTAGAATGCATATATAATGGACCCTTTAGTGTTTTTAAAGTGTGTAAATTATATGTGTGTGTATGTGAGTGTGTCTTGTAGCGTGAGAGTACTAGTTGTATTTCTCTTGAAATCTTAAAACTCTGGTGTTTAGAAATGTTCAAGTGCCACAAGGAACATTGGAGGTCATTTACTAAAAGAGACATAGTAACGTGGATACCCCTAGACACGTTTATATAATCTACAGTCATTTTTGTAATTTCTAAGACACAAAATGTAAGTTCTGCCTTTTATAACAAGATGCAGTTAAAAACGTTCACTGTAAACATTCCTGTTCCTTTTCTTTAGCATACTCAAAATTTTCTGAGATTAAGAAAAAAAGAAGTATAACAAACCCCACACACTGCTGTGCTTGGGTTTTATGATATTTGAAAAATTTCCTCCTGGTCTCTGAAAGTCTGAAATGTAACTGTCTTCGTCTTTACCTCAAGCCCTTCTGGGATGAAATACAGAAGGGATTTATTTGAAAATGTTCCAGGAATACCAATAGTGCTGCTCTGCCTGCCCAGAGAGGGTTAACCCAGAACTCAGTGCTCTGTGGGAAGACGCTGCACTGTGTGCTCAGCGGGAAATACGTCTCCCTGACTAGGAGTCTGTCTTTCAGATTGCTTTTACTTTTAGTGAAGAGCTGGCAAGACCTTTGTCCTTTTGTACTGTTTTACTTACCTGGAGTAACATAGCTGTACTTGTGGGAGACCTCTCAGCTAGACTTACTACACATCTATCTACACTTCGGCCTGTGAAAAGGCCGTGTTCTGATTATGAAGGGTTTTTTTGCTTTTGTTTTGTTTGCCTAAAGTTTTGAATATTGGCTCCTGTCTAGTTTGGGGGTATTTGTTTCTCTCCCCACTCCCCGCACCCCAAACACTCAGCTTTTCAGCAGATAGCAACCTAACATACCTTTGTAATCAAGTATGTTCTTCGAGGGGGTATGCCCTCTACAGAATGAGAATGAGATTAATACCTTGTGAGTGATATGAGTTCCTTAGTGCAGCTGAGGAGATGGGAGATGCAGCTGACTTGGCAACTTCTCATCAGACTGTTTCTCTTTCAGATTGGCTGATGTTAGAAATCAGGTGATATTTGCTGTTCGTCAAGAGTATGTCGAGCTTGGAGATCAGCAACTCCTGCTTCAGCCCGGAGATGAAATTGCCATTATCCCCCCAATTAGCGGAGGATAGTACATCGGAGCTATCTAGGTATGTGGTATTTCTTCTTTTTTTTTTTTTTCAGCCAGTCTTGTGGTGAAAGATCCTACACATGACAACTTGTATATGGTTCGCTGATACTATATATTCTTTGTGAGTCTGTCTGTACCAGTCCTTTACTGATATGGCAGCAACTGGGGTAACTGTATTGATGGTAGGTATTGATGGACACTCTCTACCATCTTCCATCACCTCTATGGTAAGCAGTTTAATGTCAATGTGATGTGTCCCTTATATTCGTTTAACATTTCTTACTGAGGTCTTATTATGCTTGTATTTTGATGGTGGGGAAACAAATTCAGAGAATTCAAAATGAAAAAAAAATCAACTCTCATCTTTGGGGGCTGGGGAGGTGACTCGGTCTGTAAAGTGCTTTTGCGAACCTGAAGACTTGGGTTGGAGACCTAGCACCCTGTGGAAGGCAGATGGGGCGGCATACACATTTATCCCAGCTCTGGAAGGCAGAGGCAGATGAATCCCTGGAGTGTGCAGGCCAGTGAGCTCCAGACTGAGTAAGAGACTTAGTTTCAGAAACTAAGGTAAAAGGTGGTGGAGGAAGACACCAGTGTTGACATTTGACCTTCACCCAAACGTACATGCTGTTCAGGTAATGAATACACACACATACGTGCACATACACACAAAACCTTTGGTCACATGGTTGAAATATGGCTTTAGGTCACAGTGGCAGAACCCAAATTTGATTTACTTTGTAACACATGTGGTTGCTCCGACCCGATCCCGGCTTCCTCAGACATAAAGAAATTATGCAAGTAGGAAGTTCATTGGTCAGTGTCCCTGACAAGACAGTCCACCATTGGCCAGTACAGAGGCACAGCTTTTCAGCTGCACGGCAGTGTGCAGCTCCAAGGCAACTTAGCTCACAGTGGAGTGGGAAGCGTAGAACCATTCTTCAGGGTAGTTTGGGAGCATCAAGCTTAGGGACCGAGTCAAAACAGCTTATTTTATTGTCAGCTGAAGAATAAATGAACTGCAATCTAAATTATTCTTGATTAGAAACTCTTTAAGCTATAGATTAAAGAAAATTGATAGGATTTTTTTTCCCCACTAAAACAACAGTAAACATCCTACACAGAGGCAAAGGGTTGGTCCCATTAAAGACAAGCCAAGGGCACCTGTTTTTCTCTTCCTCACTTTCCTGGAAAGCTGTATAGCAGATGCCAACATGTCCACTCTTGGGGAATCTGTCTCAGGCCTGCTGTCTGGACACGCTAGGATACCCTGTTAGACATGGATCTTAGTTTCATGTGGACATTCTGATCAGCATATCACCAAGGTAATCTCAGGGAGTTCTACTTTTAAAAGCCTGTGTGTGTACTTGCAGCTATTCAGATAGGTATGAAAGATTGCTAATAGCATTGTATTGTGTTTGAGTGATGTATCTCAGCCAATTTTAGAACCTGCAAGTTATGTTTGAGTAGTCTTATACAATCAGAGGTATGGGGACTCAGTATGGTTGGAGGCACATAGGTGACCTATTTGGGTTCTGTGCTATCAGAAAAAAAAGGGGGGTATAAAGCAGTGGTTCTCAACATGTGGGTCATGACCTCCTTGGGGGGGGATGAATGATCCTTTCACAGGGGTCACATATCAGATGCCCTGCATATCAGATGTTTACATTGGTTCATAACAGAAGTAAAATTACAGGTATAAAATAGCAACTGAGTAATTTCATGGTTGGGGGTCACTGCAGCATGAGGATGTGTATTAAAGAGCTGCAGTTAGGAAGGCTGAGAACCACTGGTGTAAAGGATCTAAGTACCTCAGATAGCATGGAGAGAATGTTGGAAATGCTGCCAGTCAGATGCCTTTTTTTTTTTTTTAAAGTTTGATAAGAGAAACAAACACTGAATTAAGACTTCTTAGAGTCTCAGCACTTTGAACCTGTCTTTAATAACTTCTCTGAGCCTTCTTTCATTTTTCTAATCAGATGAACTGTCACAGAATTTCTAATTATGCTTCTCATAACATATAGTATAAAGTCCTCTTACCTGGCCGGCCCCAGGCTGCCTCTCTCCTTTTTACTCCGGTGCTTCTTAGCACATCATATTCTTTGTTGTTCCCAAGTCTGGACCTTTGCCACTCCCTTTCATCAACTACACCCTGTTCCTGTTTCTTCCTGTGGTCATGTCTTATCTTTCAGGGGTCAACTTTGAACATTACTTCTTTCGAGAGACCTTTGGGATCCCTTTATCTGCAACAGTCTCTGAGACCTGTTTCAGAAACTCGTTTATTTCTATTAAGTTAGCTGAATGTGGTAGGTTTGTGATTCCTCTGTGTGTGTGTGTGTGTGTGTGTGTGTGTGTGTGTGTGTGTGAATGGACACATGCCACATGGAGCATGTGGAGGTTGGAGGACAACTTGTAGGAGTTGATCCTTTCCTTCCACCATGTATGTCCTGAGCTTGAAACTTGGTAGTTAGGCTTGGCGACACATATCTGCACCTGCTGAATCATCTTCCAGAACCTGTGGTTCTTCGTTGGTTTGTTTCTCCTATACAGATATGAGCACTCTGAGGTCAGGAGTCTGTGCTTTTGTTCCCCACAGACCAGTTCCTAGGGTAGTCTCCAGCCCTTAGTCATTTGTCTTAGGATTTCTATTCCTGTGGTAAAACACCATGACCAAAAGCAAGTTGGGAACCAAAGAGTTGACGTCTGCGTACAATGTCAGGTTGTACTCCATGGCTGAGGGAAGTCAGGGCAGGAACTCAAGGCTGGAGCTGAAACAGAAGCCGTGGAGAAATGCATGCTGCTTCCTAGATTGTTCCTCATGGCTTGCTTGTCATACCTTGCTTTGACTATTTTCTTAGAGGACCTAGGACCATTAGCCTCAGGGTGGCGCCTCGCCACAGTGAGCTGGGCCCTCCCACATCAATCAAGGAAATTGCCCACCCCCCAGGCTTACCTGCAGCCAGTTTGGTGGGGAAGATTGACGTTTCTTCTTCCCAGATAACTCTAGCTGTGTCAAGTTGACATAAAACTACCCAGCGCAGTATAAACAGATGGCGTTGCATACTACTGTTTGATGGATAAATGAAAAACTAAAGAAGACTGTCCACAGTACCTCGATAGTCGGTCACAGGTGGTACCTTCTTTCCTCCATGGCTTGAGCCAGATTGTGAAGGGCCCCTTGTTCCTATGGAATCATCATTTCTTCTCTTTTTCCATCTCTTGCTTGAATAAAAGGAAAAGGGATTCTAGGTGTGGGGCTTGGTTACAGAGTGGTTAGTGATGTTGTAGGTGTGGGGCTAGGTTACTGGATGGTTAGTGCTGATCAAGGTGGTGTGGGGCTGGGTTCCGTAGTTGTTAGTGTTGACATACGTACAGATGAAAGTGGTGGTCCCTCAATTGGATCGTGCTGAGAGAGATGAACAATAGTTACATTCTTGGTGTATATTGGCACACTTGTAGAATTCCTGTAGACTCATGAGGGATAGTAATAGTTGTAACTGTTGGTTAAAACTTTAGACTCATCACTCAAATCAAATCCTCCTCTTCTACCTATAGAGCAAAAGTGGACATGGAAACAGCATGAAAGTGGAATGTGTTATTTCTGACACTCTCGCTGAGGACTGTTCACGTCTTCTTTCTAGGAAAGAGGTGGATGAGGTTGAAGAGAAGCCTAAAGACATAATACAGTTCACTGACAAGCAGCTCTCAGTGGATGAAGTCTCACAGTTGGTGATCTCCCCGCTGTGTGGTGCGGTGTCACTCTTTGTGGGTGAGTGTGTGAGCTGCTCTCTTTCTGCCTAGAAACTGGTGAGTGCCTTCCACGTTAGTGTCCAGAGTCACAGAATGCAGAGTGCCTTCCACGTTAGTGTCCACAGTCACAGGATGCAGAGTGCCTTCCATGTTAGTGTCCACAGTCAGAGGATGCAGAGTGCCTTCCATGTCAGTGTCCACAGTCACAGGATGCAGAGTGCCTTCCATGTCAGTGTCCACAGTCACAGAATGCAGAGTGCCTTCCATGTTAGTGTCCACAGTCACAGGACACAGAGTGCCTTCCACGTTAGTGTCCACAGTCACAGGATGCAGAGTGCCTTCCATGTTAGTGTCCACAGTCACAGGATGCAGAGTGCCTTCCATGTCAGTGTCCACAGTCAAAGGATGCATAGTGCTGAGTGGCAAACCAAGATTGCCCATGGAAGTGGACAGAAACTTTCAGTTTTAGTTTTATCTTAGTTACTTTTTGATTAACAAGCCTTATTAAATTACAGGGATAATAAAGGCATGATAAAAGTCAATGCTAAGAGAGAAATTTTGTACTTTCCAAATACTGAGGTAAAAAATGTATCTGTTGCTAATACTGGAAATACAGATATTTTCCTTTTAAGCGTGAAACACTGTTGGTAAGAAGAGCAATACAACTTTTTTTGGCATATGAATGCTTTCAGGGAGCTTGCTTAAATATTATTTTCTGATCATCTTGGAGATAATTGTCTTTTGTTCTCCTAGTGAAATTTTTCTTGTAGAAAATTAAAAATAGGTTTTAGAGAAATGTGCAATACTTGTTTGTAAGTTAAAAACAATCCTTAGAAAACATTCTATGAATGAAGTATTTCTGTTATAGGAAAAATTCTTATTTTCATTGTGTGATTTTGTTCTTTTTTTTTAGGGACTACAAGAAATAACTTTGAAGGCAAAAAAGTTACTAGTTTAGAATATGAAGCATATATACCGATGGCAGAAAATGAAATCAGAAAAATTTGTAATGACATTAGGCAGAAATGGCCAGTCCGACACATAGCGGTGTTCCATCGACTTGGGTAGGATTTCTTTATCTTTTGAACGTTGAATTTGGTTGCTTTCTGTCTGTATATTGATACTGACTCCGACTCCGTCTGCCAAGAACGGAAAGCTTGCGCTTTAGCCCGAGGACTGTGGAGAGGGCTCTCAGCATCTGCCTTGGCTGCTTGCTGGATTGGAGCTTTGGATGCCTCCTTCCCTCTTTTGCTCTAGTGAAATTTAACCAAGACCTTCAGGTCCTGGCCCGAGTGCCTGTGGGAATGTCTGCTTAAATCCCCGATGCCTTTAGACAGTTGTTCTGGCCTCTGGGCTTAGTGCATGTTGAAAGTTGGCTACAGATCTGAAGCTATTAAAAACAGTTCATTTTTCATACCACCAGAAAGAACGGCATTCCAGGATTTTCAAAGAAGCCAGCAATTAAGACGTCTGTCATTATTTTGTTATTAGCTATAATTTTATTACTAACTGGTAATGGTACTGGGTGTTGCTGATCCTGTTGCTCAAGATTAATTGATATTTATTATTTTTAATTGTATGTTAAGTGTATGTGGTCACTGTAGTCTTTACATACCATCTTACACTGTACTTTGTTTGAGTTAGATGGCTGGAATTAGAGCAGTGGTTCTCAACCAGTGGGTCCTGACCCCTTTGTGAGTCTAATGACCCTTTCATGGGGGTCGCCTAAGACCATTGGAAAACACAGATATTTACATTGCAATTCACAACAGTAGCAAAACCACTGGATTAGGGAGAGGACCTTTTCTTCTTAGTCCCCATCAAAGAAGGTTTATGGATAGACGCTCACTTCCACTGACTATAACTGGCATGAATTTTCATTTTCTAGTTAGCCTAGACATTTAAATGCAATAGAATGACATTATAATTCTAACATATATATACAGATTTTCCCACCCCCTTGGTGGTTTATTTCATGTGTGAATTAAGAAATAATGGTAATTTTTCATCATCATCTTGTTAAAGTTTGGTTCCTGTGACAGAAGCCAGCACAGTTATTGCTGTGTCCTCGGCTCACAGAGCCGCGTCCCTCGAAGCTGTGAGCTATGCCATCGACTCTTTAAAAGCCAAGGTGCCCATATGGAAAAAGGTGAGTGAAGAAAGCACCTCACTTTGCCGTGTGGACCCGAGTTGATGCTTAGATAAAGGACGTGCTTAAGAGTCCTTTCATAATTTGGCTTCCTGTGCCTTGCATACCTCTAGACGCTTGTGTTCCTTATCCGACATAGTGCATTTATGTCGTGGCTGTTTTCCAAGTTCAAGCATAAAAGAATCTATGCCCCAAGGAATGCATGGTGTAGAGAAGGCCTCCGTGAGTGCTGGCAGTTAGAATTTCTAGTCCGCACGCTTGCTGCAGTTCATAGGGTAATCTCCCTTCAGTTAGGACTCTACTCCACTAGAGCTCATTCTCTGGAAAGTGAGAATAATGTTAGCTGCTTAGTCTTTGGCTGAAGGAGAAACCCCCTAAAGCAAAAGAGCTTTTATCTAGTGGTTCTTTTCTCAGGGTGGAGAGTGTGTCTGAGAAAATGTCAATGGGTGGATTAGAAAACGAATAGGAACAAGGCATGCTGTTGCATATCTACATTTCCAGCAGTGTGGTGGAATCACAAGCTTTATTCTGTCCTAGCCTACATAGACCCCATCCCCATGTATATATATATATGTGTGTGTGTGTGTGTATGTATATATAAAATAAAAACATTGATAGGCCATTCTGTTGTGTTTTCTGCCAATAAGTCAAGCTAAACAAGAATGAGTAATTCTCTGGTTAAATGGAGCATTCTGAAGGGACACCTCCCCCCACCCCGCCCACGCCCCCCTCCCCCTCCCCTCCCCCCCCCAGAATGTAGCAGCATTGAACAGACAGTTCTGCACTTGGAAATCCTAGAAATGTTTACTTCTGCATCTGAGTCGAGAATTCCCGAGTTGTCCGCAGCAGTATGGCTGTTCCCAAAGCCAAGGAACAAGTTGCCAGCACACAGGATCAGAAGAGCCACACAGGGCCAGGACTATCCTCAAAGGAATGGTTGGCCTCAGTCAGTGGGAAAGATGATCAGGTGGGACACTGATCCAGGGTCTGGGTAAAATCTGATCCTCTCCGTGGGCTAAGGAGTTTAGGAACTCCTTTGGGATTGCAGGATAGGGTGTGTGTAAAGACCTCATGATTCTGAGAGAATGGAGGCAAGCCTGCACAAGGGTGGGGAGTTGAGAGCACTCCAGATGAGCTTCAAGCCATATGGCAAAGGTAGCTTTCTTCACTAGAGAGGAGAGGACAGACAGTTAAGACAGCAGATGGGGGCTAGCCCTGCAACTGAGAGCGAGAGGCAAGAGCGGGCACGTACCCCTAGTTTATGCTTCAGGGACTAGTTGAACTTTGTATTTGCTCTCCGTGGTCTGTAGGGGAGGGGCAAAGTGTGGAAAAGTGTGGAAAAGTACGGTGCTCAGAGGCGATGGAGTAGAGCAGGGAACCCAGACCCCATCCAAGAGCAGACAAGACATTAGTGACCCGGCCCAGACATGCAGGGCAGATCTTTCAGTCCAAGGATATAAAATCGCTGTTGGGAGGAAACGGAGACAAGCCAGAAAAAACAGTTCAGCAACTTAGTAGAGATGAAAGAGAGAGAGAGAGGGTGGGGGAGAGGGAGAGGAAGAGGGAGAGGGAGAAGGAGAGGGAGAGGGAGAGGGAGAAAAAGTGAGAGGGAGAGAAAGTTAGAGGGAGAGGGAGAAAGGGAGAGAGAGAGAGAGGGAGAGGATAAGAAGAGGTTAGGGGAAGGGAAGATGAGAGAAAGGAGCTGGGCAGTGGTGGCACACGCCTTTAATCCCAGCGCTCGGGAGGCAGAGACAGGCGGATCTCTGTGAGTTCGAGGCCAGCCTGGTCTACAGAGAGAGATCCAGGGCAGGCACCAAAACTACACAGAGAAACCCTGTCTTGAGAAACAAACAACAAAGGAGAGAGAGAGAGAGAGAGAGAGAGAAGAAGAAGAAGAGATGGGTCTTAGAGGTGAAAACTACAGGAATGAATTTAAGGGCAATTGAATCTGGATTTCTCTCACTGTAGAAATGAAATCTGGCTGGTGTGGAAGAGGCAGTGTTTTTCCTCTTCCTGTTCAGTTGTCTGAGTTCCAGTCTGATTCTTTGCCTGGCTCACACTTGAAGGGCATCTGAGACACAGGCAAGGGGGCTGCAGCAGGTAGAGGATCCTGCAGGCAGGTAGAGGGTCCTGTGGGCAGGTAGAGGGTCCTGCACAGAGGTCACAGTGGACTGCAGTGCAGGCCTGTTCCAACACTTCCCAGCTACTCATGGAACTTCATAGCTGATGGAAATCCAGTCCACACCTCATCTTAGAAATGTCCAAGTAGGTGAGTTTGGAAAGAAAAGAGGTTTAAAGCTAAAGACTTTCCATGTTCTCGTACATAACTTAATAACTCTTGGTAAATGAAAGTAGAGATGAAGGGGTGCGGGTGGCCCAGATGGAACTGTTTATTCTTTTCTGTCGTTGCATCTTGTCTTGTTACAACTTCTGGCCTGTCATCCATGTTTGTGCTCTTAGTGCCTCAGGGAAGTGTCGCTTCGATGGTTAAAAGGGGTGGGTGGTAGAAGCAGGTGTGCTGTTCACTTGCCTGACTTGTTCAAGTGTGTTTAGTTCTCTCATTTTGAATACCTGCGGTGGTTCTGTTTTTCAGGAAATCTACGAAGAATCAGCATCATCTTGGAAAAGAAACAAAGAATGCTTCTGGGCAGCTGGTGATTAGTCCCTTCATTTTTGGTGCACCAAGTCTTGAACGTGGTAAACCATCTCTTAGGTCACATAAGTGGAGGAAAAGCAGAATGCATGAGTGTGTGGGATGAGGGGCTGCCTAGGAACTGAAGATGGGAAGAAATGGCTTAATTTAAATATGAGATAAGGTGTCTGCTCGACCATCCTGCTGTGCCTTACTCCTAATTGTAGCCAGCTCATGATGAGTTGTGGCCTTCCTTTTATGGTCAGCTGTCCCAGGAAGAACCCCTGTCTCACAGTGTATTGACAGCATCATTGTCAGGCATGTATTAGAAAAATTTGGCAGGATTAGAAAGTCATCTGTTTTGATATATATTTTATGTAACTTAAAAATGAAACTAAATAAATCATGATTTAAACAGCTTAAAAGTAGATCCCGTTTGTTTATAGTCAGTGATAATACCTAAGGAATTTTATATTAGAGACCGCTATGACTTCAGAATCTATAATTATACAATAAAGCTTTTTATAGTTCATGAGTTACCAGTATCCTTATGACTGTACAAATTATTATAAAATTGTTCCAAAATTAGCAGCAAGGTGGTTTGTGTTAAAATGGTGTCTGATGTTTAAAAGTTGGCCCACAGCTATTTAGAGAGATTATATAATTATTTATTAAAGTAATTTGAATAGTTTTCATAATGTTAATGTAACATTACCCGGTGTGAAGTTATTACTAAACAAATTAAATTTTCTGCATATTTTTATACCAAACATCCAGTTTTTGGTTGGTCACTATATCATGGCAGGTTTGAGTGCAAAAGTCCCATGCAATTTGTTCTGAAATTTTTTTTGGCTATATTGACATATGTTTGACAAGTAAAATCTATTTAAATTCTATAATGTGATATTGATATGCTTGTGTTATAATGTGATCATCACAACCCAGATGAATAACACATCTGTCGCTTCATATAGGTTCAGTGGGGAACTTAAGGTGCATTCTGAGCTCATAAAGAATGAAAATACCAGCATAACTGGATAATTGATCTCATCTTAGAATTAGCAACATTCATAATGAGAATAAAGACTACTTTTAAACACAGAGTGAAGAGGTTTTTCTTTTTTTCTTTTTTGGCAAGTAACTTAGTAATCCTTGCTGGGGATGTCTTTCTGTATGCTGTGAATGTGTTGTTCTGATTGATTGATAAATAAAATGCTGATTGACCAGTAGCCAGGCAGGAAGTATAGTATAGGCGGGACAAGCAAAGAAGAGAATTCTGGGAAGAGGAAGGCTGAGTCAGGGGACTCCAGCCCGCCGTCCAGGGAGCAGCATGTAACAGGCACACAGGTAAAGCCACGGAACACGTGGCAACATATAGATTAACAGAAATGGGCTGAGTTTAAGTGTAAGAGCTAGTCAGTGGTAGACTGAGCTAATGGCCGAGCAGTTTTAAATAATATTAGCCTGTATGTGTTTATTTGCGTCTGAGCGGCTGCAGGACCGGCGGGTAAGAGATCTTGATTTGTCTTGACCACAGGCCAGGCAGGACAGGAAAAAAAAACTCCCAACTACAAATCCTATTTATTATATCCAAGAAAAACACATTTTATCTAATTAGCTCATCTATTCAACAAATGTTTTCTGAAAGCCTAATGTATGACAAGACTCCCACCCTGTCCCCCACCTTTATTATCATGAGAAGAGTATTCTGATGGCTGTGAGTGACAGGATAGCTATGCATCCTCAAGGATCTCTTGGTTACTTGGTCTCTGTTCCTTGGTCCACCCCTAATGATTGGGTCAGAAGGACACTTGGAAAAGAGAAAAATCTCTACCCACTTCTGTTAGTGATTTGGGGTAATCTGTCTGTCTCAACCTTCTCTCACTTTAGAACCTTCCTGTCCTTCCACCAAGATTTAGTCTGCATCTGTGGGGATCAAGAGCTGGGTGTTGGAGTCAGTTACTCTAACCCTGAAAACACATTAGGTTACTAGGCCACTGTGTATATTCTTAGGATTTTGCACTCCTGGTGTTAATGTGTTGCATTTAATGTTAATGTGAGATACTTTCAAGTTTTTAAGATATTTCTACTAGAGCTGAGAGTGGTAATGTATGCCTTAATCTCAGCACTAGAGAGGGTTTCTGTGAGTTTGAGGCTAGCCTGGTCTACATAGTAAGTTCTAGGATACCAGGGCTACACAGAGAAATCCTGTCTCAAAAACCAAAACCCACCAAACAAAAACAACAAAACGATTTTTCTATTCAAAGGCTCTTTACAAGGCTTTCATTGAAGGTAATTATGTTTTTAAAGAGCGTAGAGAAGTCATTAAAAATGGCTTTAAAGAATTATGCCTTCAGTAAGTAGGCTTGATGCTGTGTGGGACCTGGATACTGTGCTCCTAAGTCTCCAGCATGAAAATGGAGGATTAGATTTGGGGTGTGCTGGGAGAACCAGAATGGAGCATCCTTGAAAGTTTGTAGTTCAGGACACTGGGAGCTTCGTTAGTCCCCACCTAGGAGTGGCAGAGTTAATTGGTTGTTGAGTGATCAAAGGCTGACATCACCCCAACATGTAGCCATTTCCAGTTGACTGTTGAAGTGGAAGAGTAGCCTTAAAAACAAGCAGCAGCCTTTAGTAGATTGCTTGCTTTGGACTGTAACTGGGCATGAGGTGAGTTCCCTTAAGAAGCACGATCGATAATCATGGTACGTTTGTGCTTCACCTGCCTTTGAATGGGTAGAGAATGGAAAGGGTCTTATCTTCACATGGAAGTAATAGATGCTCAGCCATTGATGTAGCCTCTAGATTTTTATCTTTTGGATATGAGCTGTAGAGTCACAATATGTCTTCAGAACGTTTCCAGACAGTCGTTAAGAAGCAGTTGTTTGGATCTTGGTTTTGACTTTCTGAGTATGAACATTTTGGCTAATGGGATTCCTGGGTGAGTCTTGAGTCCCGTTTCTTTACTTCCCTCCCTGGTCCGGGCCTTGTGAACTATAACCATCACCTACCAGTCCTGTTCCCTCTCTACCATTTCCAGCCTAACTCATCCATTTTTTTAGTAGTGAGCCTTCTCACCGGTGCTGGGATCCCAAAGCCCTGAGTTTTCACCTCTGCAATCCAACAAAGTTGCCTTCCTCCCCACCTCCCATCCTGCTTCAGGCTTGCTGCTTTGCTGTGGCTGGTGTGGGCAAGCTATTCCCGCTTCTAGATTATTCTTCCTTCCCAGATTTTGTGGATTCTGCTTCTTGACTTTGTTCCAGTCTCTGAATGTCATTTGCACAGAGAGCCTTCACAGACTGACTACCCTGCTTAAAAGTAGAGTCCTGTCCGTTTCCTATGCTCGTGTTCTGTTATGGTACCTGATGCTGCCTGAAGTACTACATTCAGTAGTTTATCACCAGTAGTTTGACATTAGCTACGACTCCGTGTCACCAAAGTACACGAGCTTGTAGTGTTCACTCAAATATTTGTTGAGTGAGTAATGGTGCTGTTGGTTTCACATACTGTGTGTCAAATTAAACACACCTGACATGTAAGTTGTGCCACACACAGATGTGAAAAGGCATCTGGTTAAAGGAACCAGTGGGCTAGTCTACTGTGTGTTGTAATTATTTGAACCCTCCAGCAGAGGGCAGTAGATCCAGGCCTATAATTGTGACCGCCTTAAATCACATTTTATACTGACTAGAGTTGAGTTTAGTGTGGCCATTCTGTAAGGCTAGAGGGGTCCTTAAGTGTGACTAAGGTTTGGTCTTTAATTAGTATCTTATTTAAAAATTAAAGGTTACAGTAGGGGGAGGGACAGACTTGTAGAGAAATTTTGTTTGTAGTTTTTAATACTAATACAGAACAGGAAAAGGAATCAATTACCTTTTAAAAGTGGGTCAATAGAGAATTATTATATAGTTACCTGTATGGGACAAGATGATAGCTTTAGTGCAGGTTTTCAGATGTTAGTGCTGAGAAGGGGAAGTGGGCATAAAGTCCCAAACTGACCAATAATTTGCAATTGGTACCTGCTGGGAAATGGAAAATTAATAGAGTGTCACTTGGCATTATCAGCCACATTCCAGGGCAGACCCTGTGCCCAGGAGTAGATGGCCAACACAAAAGGATTCCATGCTTTTTTGTGCTATTTTTTTTTGTTTTATTTTGCGTGGGTTTTTTTTTGGGGGGGGGGTGGGAAGGGAGAGAGAGAAGAGGAAAATAAACAAAGTTAGTTGAGTAGGGAAGTGGGAGGGTCTGGGAAGAGTTAAGTGAGGGGAAAGAGTGTGGTTGGAATATGTTGTCTGAAAATTTTTTAAATAAAATAATATAGGTCTCTCTGTAAAGAAAAATAAAACAGAAAACTAAAAACAAAGCAATAACAAAAAGTTATTTTTCCCAGCATTGAATTTTAAGCACATGGACTCGTTTTTCTATAGAAAGCTGTATTTGGGAGTGAGAATTCACATGTAGGAATGCCTAATACCAAGTGGGAGATGTTTTAACGTTGATACAGATGGAGGCAACACAGTCACATTCTGCCTGGACTTTGCAGTGGACTGCCATGCATATCATGACGGCACTCTGCAAACTCAAGTCTGTCTAGCGTCAATTCTTCAGTGTGTTCATTTCAGTGTATGCAATTTTTTGACATTTAAGTCATCTCTCACTTAATATTCAAATGTTTTAGCTATCCTTTGCACATGGTAGCATATCAGCTGCTTTGAGTTTCTACCAGACCAGAAACTTATGTTACTGACAGTCCGAGTCTTCAGAACACATCTTGAGTGTGTTCTGAAGCAAAAGGGCTCCCTAAGACATATTGACGTGTAACTTTGCAATAAAAACCAAAGTTGAGTAGCTCACTTTCAAAACAGTTTTAATGACATTTAACGACAGGGTATGAAAAGAACAATTTACAAGTAAATACAACATTTCTGTCTGGTTCTCATGCTTTGATACCAGAAAGGCTTTTATTTGTGTCAGTTACTACAACTTGATTGTTTCTAAGAAATCAAATAAATTCACCAAGTTGGTGTACAAACAAATACATTCATCTTATTTACTTTTGGTGGAGAGAAAAAAGACAAAATATTTCATTCAAACCTCAAACGTTACATCTTAACCAAGATTACCTATCATGTGTGAAGGAAATAAGACAATCTCCTCTTTTAAAAATAGATAATTCTAATATAGTTGTACAATATATACATTTACCTTTGGCTTCCTTTGCCAAAATCAAGTACAAACAATACAATCTATATATTTACACAATGACTACATCTTTATACTTTAGAATTCAAAGTAGTAAATATATTACTCCCAAATTCACCCCTGTGTTTATCTTTTAACTGGATGTTTACTCTGTCGTGTTAATGGGAACAAACCTTCCTGAATGTACATGAAGGGTATAGTTCTAGCAGGCTGTGTATGGACTTGTTCTGTGTGTAAGGATGACGGAGCTCTGCTGAGTGTCCTGCCTTCTGATGAATGAAATCTTGAGACTTTCACGTGTTAGGTTACAGCTGTGTATCAGATGGATACAGTGTAACATTATTATATATAATTTAGAATAATCACTTGTGTGACTGTCATAAATTGGCTGTAGTTGTCTTTAGTCTTCACAGTTAAAAGGCAAGTTGCACTGTTTTATGAACATAACACTGCCAGGTAGGAAAACGTCTGTCCAGCTAGGCATTCATAGTTTGCTGCTAAGATGAGTGGTGCATCACTTGAAGTGTGTCCAGTTTCTTGATTACACTATTCTACCCTCCTGCTGTTTACAGAGTTGTGTGATGACCACACAGGAAGCAACTCGGGTTTTTTTTTTTTTTTTGGTTTTTCGAGACAAGGTTTCTCTGTGTAGCTTTGCGCCTTTCCTGGAACTCACTCTGTAGCCCAGGCTGGCCTCGAACTCACAGAGATCCGCCTGCCTCTGCCTCCCGAGTGCTGGGATTAAAGGCGTGCGCCACCACCGCCCGGCTGCAACTCGGGTTTTTAAGATCACATTTTGTGATATACCATTTATGAAATGGAAATTTTAACCTGACATCTTTTGAGTCCTATACTTACTTTTGAAGCAAAGGTAGGGTTGAATGGACCATGTAACTTCCTTTCAAACACTGCCTACCTGCCCCCAATAATTTCTTGAGAACACTCATCTTTGCTTAAAATTTCTTGAAAAACACAGGAGTCGTTTAGTAAAGACTGGATGTGGGGCTCAACTGGGGACATTTGTTATTGTCCTGACCATGGCGGAAGATGCAATCTATCCTTGAGTAGGTAGAGGCCACGGATGCTGCTTAAAACCCAGTAAGGAACAAGACAGGCCCTCCCCTCCTATAACTACCTGCTCCAAAATTACAGTATTGCTAAAGTCATAGACCCTGGGGCTTGTGTGAGAAATGCTTTAGAGACTTTTGTCTAAGTCTTGCTTGTAACCCAGCCCTACCCCTTTAAAAACTAATCAAAGCTGATCACCGAAACCAAGGCTAGTCAAAGGTCACAAGCTCTATGTGTATAGTAGTACATAACCCTGTTTGCTACCTTCAGAAGGAGAGGGAGGCTGTTAAATAAAGGAACTGTGTGCTATGGGTACTCATAAAGCACACTAGAAAACTCGTGTGTGTGCGCGTGCGCGCGTGCAGTAGGTTAACATGGTGTGTGAAGTATTCTCTGTCAACCTAATGACTGGTTTCTCCACTCTAAAATAAAATTTTGGTTCGAATGACACAATGATTCCACACAGCTGTTAGAAGAACTGGACTCTGGATCACGTACCTAAGAGAGTACCAAGCTGTTTTTGCTGTGCCTCCCTGACCTTTACAGCTAATATTTTTTCCCCTCTGTTTGTTTAGCTTTATCAAGGATGAAGTAAGCCAGTAACTGCTCCAATTAGCTCTGGACAGCCATTCAGGGGCCTGGCCTTCCATACACACACAGGCGAGCTGGTTTTCCTCTGAGCTCTCTAGGTCCCGTTCTTGGAGGTTGTATAGTAGGAAATCCTTACGGTTGACTTTTCAGAATGAGTCGCTGCTGAGCCCTGATCCTGATTTCCCCTTTCATAATGAGAACAATGAAGTTCCTGGAGGTTAAGAACCGGGCCAAAGATTGGCACGTACAGTGTGTGACAGAGTGGCTTCCCCTGTTGTTCCCTGAACCTCTTTCTTCCAGCTCTCTTCTGGAGAACGTATAGGCTCAGAAATAAGGAGCAGAGGGTGGAAAGGGTGCACAACTCCCTGGAGTGAGTGCAGTCTGTTTACCTCACCAACACTGGGTGCTTGTCAAAATGGGGGCCACTGGGCTTTCTATCAGCCCGACCTAGTAAGAGTTTCAGGAGTTGGGGCTGAACAGTTTTGCCTGCCCCGGTCAAGAACAACGGATGCACCTGCTACGTGAGTGGTTTCTGCTGCTCCTCCAGCCTGCAAATCCCTGAGCTGTTCCATTCACCTCCTTTGTAACTGCAACAGCTACAAATGCAGGCGTAGTTTTCTTAGTTGTGTGGCAGCAAAATGAAAATAGCCCCCTAAAGTTAGTGTAGAGAGTGATCACACAGGTGTGTGAACTAAACAGGGGACTTTCTCATCCCACCACTTGGGGTAGTGTGTGGGAGCGGGTTGGGATTCACGGTGTGGGAGATAAAGTGGATAACTACTAGAGAGAAAGGCAGGCGACCGGGGGCTTCTGTCATTAAGGGCGACAGGGAAGGGGAGAGGCAGGGGAGGCAGTTAGCAAAAGAAATTGTTCATCTCTAGGTTCCTCCCAGCTAGCTAACCAACTGAAAGAGAGCTCTTGCTATTCCTAAAGGGAATGCCCCTCCCCCTTTCCTTTGGCAAGGGATGGCCCCAGCAGACGGTTCTACTATAAATATGTTATAGTATAGGTTACTAGTAAATTTTGATACCTTGACTTTTAAACTGTCCCCGCCCCAGCATAATGTTTGTGGGGGTTTCTTTAGTAGGTGGCATATTTATCTTCAAATATTTTATATATATATATAAAATACTTATTATGTACATATAATCTGTTTTTCCTGGTTATTCAAGCATGTTTATAGTAAGATAGGACTCAGAAGAGGCAGTCAGGGCCTGAAAGAAAGCAACAAATTTTATCTACTTTTTTTTTGAGATCCTGCCAAACAAGCACTCTACGATTAAGCTAAGCTCCAGCATCCTTTTTCCTTTTGCTTTTAGACAGGGTCTCCTTAAGTTGTCCAGGGTAGCCTTGAGCTCACTGTCCAACTCAGGGAGACCTCGGACTGCTGTCTCAACTTCCTGAGCAGCTGAGATTACTGTCCTGCAAGAGCAGGACTTTTTTTTTTAAACCTAGTTTATAAATAAGATTGTCACCTAAAAGTATCCTCTATAGCAACCTTGGATGAGCAGCATACATTGAAAAAGCAATCTATGCTGGTTTTCTCTCTTTTCAACCAACATTCATATTCATTATAGTAATATAGTTATTATGTATGTGGAAGGATTCAGTATAATATACATATTATCTACAATATAATTTATGTCACAGTTATAGATATGTAATACATACTTATATATGCTATATTGATTGTATATAACATATATAATATGTGTTATGTATTATATACATACCAGGTGCTTTCCACTTTTATTGATACTGTTAATCAAAATAAAAAGAGCATTCCCCATGCACTCTCCCACCCCCCAAATCTGAAAAATGTTACAATTTTCTTGAAGGCTTGTCATGCATAGACGCACTCCGTCTTCCCGACACAGTAAATGTTAGCATGTAAACATTGGACTAGCCAGTTTAAAGAGTACTTTTCCTTTCTGAATAATGTGTGATCTTTGTAGCCCTAACCCCCACCCACAATGTCTTCATTCTCAACTGACCAGCAGTTACTCTAAAACTATCAGGCTAGTTTGCCTATTGAATTATTTAAAACTGGACTGTAAAAGAAATCCATTCACCACACAGTGAACTCTAGCTGGGGTGTCACCAGCCCCCATGCCGTGGTGTCCGTGGCGGGGTTTAGCTGTTGAGGTCTGTGGTCTCGTCCATCTCATCTGGATTTTGGCTCATTTTTTTATATTGTCTTTTGAAGAAGCCAAGCTGTAAGGTGACAACATAACCTTTTACCACACTGTGACTCCAGTTACCTTGATTTGATCATTACCTGAAACCCATGCAACCCACACCACACCTTGCCCAGAAAATACCAACCATGAAAAGAATGACATTACCACCCGTGGCTTACTCAGCACGTGCCCTTGACCTGCTTTGTTGCCCACTTTTCTGCAGCCCCTCTGGACTGCCTGGAGGTTTGGGGCGACTGGTACACAGGCTGCTGACTAATGTCAGCACCCGTACATTGAGGAACTTTATGTTCAGGGAGTTAAGTTGCATTGTGTGGAATTGAATATCTGTCATATCCGTTTGAAACTGAACAAAATGTTCAGGGTGCCGGGTGATAGGGAGGTTAAAACAAAAACAAGTTCTTACTGGCTTTTCAAAGACTTGAGTAAGAAAATACAAACAGCCTTGCATTTCTTTTCTTGATGGCAAGAGGTACCATGCCATTCAAAACAGGGGCCTTTGGGAGTACCACATTTTAGCCATGAAGTTTTCTTACCTTCCACAAACCAGCAACCAGAGCCGCCAGCAGGAGGATCCCAGCAATTATGCTTCCTACTATAACCCCTGTTGGTACTTCGGCTTTCTCGGTGGGTTTCATTATCATGAGGGGAATCTGTGAATGAACACGTGCTCACAACTGACTCGTCTATTTAGCGGAGCAGTAAGATGGCCTAACACAATTCAATAATTTACAAATACGACCCACAGTTCCAGAGGGGGGCTGTGACTTGTCATAATGGCATCTGTCCCCTAAGCATCGTGGAAAACACACTGCAGACAACTTGGAAACTCGGGTAATGCACAGCCTTTTTACTTTTTCTTTCTCAGCTGTATTGCTGTCTTATGGCTATGCTGAGCTGAAAGCATCCATTGCTTTCGTTGTTTAAAGTAGGCACTTCAGTTCCCAGCATATATTTTGTGTGTGTATGTGTGTGTGTGTGTGTGTGTGTGTGTGTGTGTGTGTGTGTGTGTGTGTGTGTGTGATCAGACGAGACCAAAGTATCCTTGGAAGGGGGGCCAGCATTGCCTTGTCCAAGCCCTCATTCAATAACTTCGCGCCAGCTTTTAAAGTCCTGATTTCAATACCGTTCACGTTTGATATAAAACACTGGGAAAGTAGAATCGATAGGAGATCTCAGGGGTGAGGCTGACATTTTCAGTGATGACATTGCCCTTGGGCATACTCATGACCTTATGCCCATGTCCCATGAAGATTGTGGCAGTGGGGTGGAATGGCATCCTTAGGGGCTTTGAACAGTGACACTTCATATCCCTTTTCTTAGTTGAGAAAAGGAGTCACCACAAAATAGTCTTAGAGAGCAAAAGGGAACAATACTTAATTTATTTACTTGATACCATATTAAACTGTACTGACAAAGGAGCTGCCTTTTTTTTTTTTGTTTCCTTGTTTTTCTGGTTTTGTTTTGTTTTTTGAGGCAGGGTTTCTCTGTGTAACCGTGGCCATCCTGGACCTCACTCTGTAGACCAGGCTGGCCTCAGACTTAGAACTCAGAGATTAGCCCACCTCTGCTTCCCTGGTGCTGGGATTAAAGGCATGTGCCATCACCACCACCTGGCAACCTGCTTTTTATGGTAGGAGACATAGGAAGCCAGCTCTGTGACTATGGTTTCTCCTCGTTTGTCTTAAAAAGCTCAAGTGTTCTGAATGAAATTGGTATAAATTCGTGCAGTTCACTTCTGTGTAGTAGTGAGCTACTAAAGCTTTATTCCAGAGCCCACCAACCTGATGCTTGAATCACCCTGTACCCTTGAGCACAATACTTCTTCATGTATCTGATTTTGAAATGGGCCTTCATATAGGTGTGTGCCAATGTATTCTTTGGGTTCCAAGGATTCCTCAAAAGGTCATCCAGATTATTGTTTGGATTACTGATTAATTTCATAAACACAAATAGAAGTCAGTCTCTGCTATTAATTAGTACTGCTCATAGAAAAACCAAGAAAAGAAAAATCTGGTGGATTCATGAAAATGAAACTTTGAATCTTCAATTAATATCTTCAAGGGCTGCTTTCAAGAACGACTTTAGCAGAGTTTACATATCACCCAAATGCTGCATTTTTCTAACATGAGCTTTGAGGACAGTCTATACTGCTTTCTCTCTTCACTTAGGTTCATAGCAGTTTGACTTTGGAACCTGCACTTCCCTTTGGCTCTGTTTCTGGGTTTCCATGCCCAGCCTCTGCAGAGAGGGTGTGGGCTTTCACTGAGGTTCCCAAAGCAGAGGCAGAAAAGCAGCCTCTATTGTGTGGAATCATTTTTCCTGGGACAAGAGTGGGACAGCAGTGTTGTGAACTCAAGGCAGGCATTGAGAAAGGCCGAGAGTTCATGGGGCCCTTGGCTTTTTAACCAATCTGTAGGCTGGAGCACTGGACAGAGGCCAACGGTCCAGCTGGCCTTGGGGGCAGAGTTGTGAACTGACCTCCAGTTCTTTAACAAAAGCTTTGGGAGGAAAATGCTCGGGGGCTCTGCCAGCAGATTCATCGGGCATGGAAATCCTGCTGTATCTAAAAATGGCACATGCTAACCAGTGGATCACTGCTAAGGAAAGTCGACTCTGCCAGCCCCAAGAACAGACAGCCTTTGTCTTCTGTAAAAGGACAAGTCTCCATAGTACTCTCCCTTTTGAATGAAGGTTACATTTGTAGGTCTTTAGACTGTAAGGCCATGAATGGACATGTCACAGTGCCTGGTTATAAGAAGCACTTTTAAAAAAAAAGTGTAATAAATGCCTGATTTACATACTCTTACAATGCCCTGGGTCGAAGTCACGATTTAAGCCAGCATAACTTAGGTCTTATGCCTCAGAGCCTGATGCTTTCTCCCAGCACAGGAAGAGGTGGGGATGTGGCTTGAGGCGTGAACTGTTGCCATGGTGTCCCAAACACAACAGAGCCCCTCTGTTTGTACCTCTTCTGGTGGATCTTCACTTCTAGAAAGCCAGCTTTGCAGCGTGAGGGTGGGGTGGGGTGGGGAGGGGGAGCGGGGCGCGGGTGCAAAGAAGAAGGCAAGTGTGTCACTGGACTCTGCGGCACAGCCACCCTGGCCACACCTCCACCTGATGGAGCCCAGGCAGGCCTTCAGTGTTTCGGTGGGGAGCCTTCTGGGTGGTCAGAGGTGAGAACGGCTGTTCCGTGTGTCGCACGCTAGAATGTCTGTCCCAGGGAGAGGGATGCAGCACACTCACCGTGACGGCGTTTTCCTCAATCACGTACAGCTCAGGGTTGTGTGTGTCAATTTCTGCTGCTGCTGTCAGTTGCACGGTCTGGAAGGTCGACTGGAACATAGAACAAAAACATTTCATCCTTGCAGCAGTAAACACAGAAGGCCCTGGCACGTTGGAGGTTGGTTAGTTCCTGGCGGACAGTCACAAGAAGAAAACTCGGTTCTGAAGATTCCTCCCTTGCGTGCTTCAACTCGCCGTGTGGACTAAGCCTGCCCATCCGAAGCTGCGGAGCAGCCTTTGAAATGTGCAGTGATTGGAGCCTGCTGCTGCAAATTAGACCAAATCTCAGGGTGGCACCCAGATGGGAGCCTTGGAAACACCTCCTGACATCATTCAAATCTGAAAATGATTCAAACAGAAGGCTCACAAGGCCTGTTTTTAAAAAGAAAAGTTTGTCACTGAGATTTTTCTTAAATTTAATGAAGCTTGATACATGAAAGAAAATTGCACATAATACTCTTTCACTCGTACCTGAATGAGGCACGTTATGGGATGAGACACCAGCATTTGAGTTTCTTCTGTTGTATAAAGTATTACTATCTAAAAGTATACCTGAACTTGATTATACATGATGGCTGTGGAAACCTTGAGCCTTCGTACATGTTAATCACATTGGGAATGATTTCATATGTCCTCATCTAAGTGTCTCTATCACATGATACTGACTGGGGTGGATGGATAAGGACATACATTATGCTGATGCTATAAGTAAGAATATATAGGAAGCTTGCATGACGTTATCAATTTGTTGATGGAAAAAGAGTCTGTTCAATGGGAACATAATGATGCCAATGTCTTGCTGCCAGTGTTTGCTATACAACACAAATTGTGGGCCTGATAATTAGGTGTGATAGAACTAACATTCAGATTTTAGAACTGTCTTCACGTGCTCTGGCTATTAGGACTCCACTGTCCTGGTTACTAGGGCACACAAGTCAACATCTTTGTGAAGTAACTTCCTAGACTATATCCAGGAGCCAGCAAGAGAGAATATATTTCCAAAAAGTGAGCAATTTGTTTCCTTTCTGCTGGCCCAGCCTCTGGTTATTCTTAATTTTCTCAAGATGGAAAATTGCATCATATGTTAACCCTAAATGTTGATATTTTAAACATATATTATAGGTGAAACATTAAGAGTATTTATATTGTGTGTGTGTGTGTGTGAGTGTGTGTGTGTGTGTGTGTGTGTGTGTGTGTGTGTGTGTGTGTGTGTGTGTTTAGAAATCGCTCAGTGGTTAAGAGCCCTCACTACTCTTGCAGAGGACTCCAGTTCAGTTCCCACCTATACCTTCAATTATAGAAGACCTAATTCCCTTTCCTGACCTCCAAGAGCACCTGCATGCATGTAGTACACATGAACTCATGTAGACACACACACACACACACACACACACACACACTTAAACAAAAAGTGGCAGTCAAGTGAACTCTAGGCTATATAGCCCCTGTAGACTGTGTGATGAAATAATTGTTCTTAAAATGCTCATATAGCTGCCCACACAGAGCAGGCTATTCTTACACAGACCCAATGTCCTACACTATTAACTAGTAGAGGAAGGTGTACAACACACACCCAGGAGAGCAAAGTAGCACACTTGCTAGCATTTGCCAGGGTTTTCCTTGCAAAAGGCAGCCAATGCTATTGGGAAGCCCGAGCAATCAGTATGTGATGAGATACTTGAGATGTTAAGCTGAGGTGCATTGCATCAGAAAAAGAAGTAATCACATTGTGAGCCCCATACAGGAAATGAGACCCGAATCTCAGACTGGAGCAGCTGTTAAAATGGATGAAAGTAAGGCAAGGGTAAGCAGCTGGCTTCTCATGGAGGAGGAAGACGTGCCGTGCTTGACACCCATTGATACCCAGTAGTAATTCTGAGGATGTAACTATTGTGAAAAAGGAAAAATGCTCCACTGCTTAAGAACTTGCACCCAGAAAGGAAAGGCTGCCTCAGAGCCTGTTGAGAGGCACTTTCACAAAGCCTGATGGTTAAAATATTGTAGCTTCAAGCAAACTCCAGAAAACCCAAATACTTTTCACAGAGGAGTTGGAGCGACAATATTTTGATGTGCAGAAGTCAGTTTTCCTTTCCACTTGGCAAAGTTTGTTACAAAAAATATTTACTCTTCAGATCTAAGGAGCCAGGAACCCACTGAGTACCGAGACTGGATACCAAGCTTCAGCAGCTGGGAGAACAGTGGTACCTCCAACAGCATACATCATCTTTTAGGACTTAGAACTGTCCCAGAGGCTGTAAAGCCAATGCAACTGACAGGCAAAAGGAGACAATATCCTCAAAAGGAATCCCAACCCCTCAGTCTTCCCTCTCCCCCAGTTCTGAAATCTTTCCCTAAGCTTCCGCCACTCTTTTCATATTATGTCGTCACTCAATCTTACTGCTTGGGTTTTGACTCCAGGGCCAAGGTAGGAGGGCGATCTCAAACTAATCCACAACTCCAACTCAGAGAATGGGGACTATCGCTGGTTGTGAAACGGTGAAAATTGAGGGACCAGAGTTCAAAGAGAACCAGTGAGGGCCATACTGATCCCTGGGAGATCCAAACTAAGATAGTTTGTCAACGCTCAGTGCCAGCATTGGAAAAGGGACTAGCTAGCTATTCCAGCAGCCAGGATCAAGGAGGCTGAGGCCCGCTCCTTCTTGTGTTACCTGTATTTACACAGTTCCTGCCAGACTAAAATCCTGACGACCCAACCCCTGCTCAAATAGTGCTATGGTAGACTCGAGCCCGCTGGGTAGGGAAACACCACCAATTGTTTTGGCGCTTTCCTTTTCATGGGTGTGGAGATAGCCGAAGAGTTGTATGCTGTCTGCTTTTACTCATTAAACTGAAGCTAAACTAGGAAAGTGGAGTGTCTGCCTATTTATTAATAGAGGGAGATGGACCCTCAAGCTGGATTCATTGCTTCATGGTTTAAGATCAATGACACACTTGGCTGAGAGTTCAAGGAGAGAGACAAGGGCATGAGCATCCTGATTCAGGTGTGACTACAGAAAAAGAACTGTGGGGACATCATGAAGGAGACCAAGAAGATGCTGTCTATGCCAAGGACAGCAAAGGGATCCTTGGCACCATTCATATAAATGCCATGGGCTGCTGTGACATCTAAGAGGCAGACCTCTTCATGAGCTCTCCAGATGATTCTGAGGCAAAGCCAGACAGGGTGAGCACTGAAAAGGGATGTGAACTTACGACCCAGAGTACAGCTGCTCGGGCTTGCTTGGGCATTTCTGACTGTAGGCAGGGCGCTATTTCATCAAAAAGGAGGAATATTTTTGACAATGAAGCTGCATGCTTCCTTGCTCTCCCTTGATAGACCTGGTAGTGAAAGCTGATACTTACAGCAGCGAATGTCCCGTTCCAGACTCTGGTAGTCACATTGATGAAGTACTCTGATTTCATGTGAAGGTCTTTCAGCCAGCAGGTGATGTCACTGCAGGAGGTGGTTCTGCAGTCCTTTCAGATCGGAGTCCATGGGGAGAAAGAGGGAGAGAGAGAAAACGGGTGTTACAAATGCTAAAACTTTAGAAAAAGATAAAACAGTGCTAGGAAGGACCTGCAGAAACAGGCACTATCAGACTCAATTGGTATTCATATCATTATTTATATTTATACCTATTATTACTTATACTAATTTATATTAGTATTTACATCTATTTTAGTATTTATTATTAGTATTTAGCTCTATGAGTATTTATAGCTATATATTACTAGTATTTATACTAATTTATAACTTCAAGGGATTTTGATAATATGTTTCAGACTATAAGCAGAGTTGACATAGCTTTTTCCAGCCATTTCCCATCTGTATTGATAACCTCAGAGATAACAGAAATATGTGAAAAGAAGGATGTTGCAGAATATTTGTTTAACCACGTAAAGATGTGTTGCACTTGTTTAATTATGTAAAGATGTGTTGCTGTTTCACCTTGCCTGCCTAAGACACTTGATTTGTCTAATTAAAAGCTGAACGGCCAATAGTAAGGGAGGAGGTATAGGCAGGACTTCCAGGCAGGGAGAGTAAGTAGGGGGAGGAATTTAGGCTCAAAGGAGAAAGAAAAGGAGACACCACGGAGACGCCAGAGGCCAGCCAGGCAGACATGGAGGAAGCAGGAAAGTAGGGCATACAGAATGAAAGAAAGGTAAAAAGCCCTGAGGCAAAATGTAGATAAATAGAAACAGGTTAAATTAAGTTAGAAGGGTTAGTGAGACAAGCCTAAGCTAAGGCTGAGCATTCATAATTAATAAGAAGTCTCTGTGTCTTATTTGGGAGCTGGTTGGTGGCCCAAAGAAAATTCCAACTACAAAAGGGCACAACCTTTTCATTATACTATTTATGACTGTAAAAACTAAACACAGTAACTAATTCATGTTATCAGCAATGTGCTAGGCAAGTAAATTATTGAACAGAAACAACATGTTGTATAATTTAGCCATTAATGACAATAATGAATTTCCTACATTAAAATATGTCAGTAAAAGAATCAGTAGTTCTCAGGGGTTATGGGAGAGAGGGAGGTATGACTACAGAGACCACAGTAGGTTTTTAGGGTTGTTAAGTCACCCGGTATGCTGTCGTAATTAATGGACACAGGCCATTATACATTTTCAACTCCATAGTGTGAATGCTTGAAATTCTAACCATGAGCCCCAGTGTAAACTATGGCATAGGGGATATGTTCTGTTAGTGTAGGTCTGTCACTTATGACAAATGTGCCACCCTATCATGGGATTTCAATGGTGGATGAAGCCATGCATATGTGAGAACAGGAGATATATGGGAAATTCCTCTACATTTCACATGATTTTGTTATAAATTGCTTTAAAAAGTAAAGTCTTTTAAAAAACAGTCTATAAGGCCGAGCAAGAGAGCACAGTGGATTAGAGTACTTGCAAGCATTAGGACCCGAGTTCAAGTCCTCAGCACCCACATGAAAAGCTCGGCCTGGCTGTGTGTGCCTGTAGCTCCAGTGTTCGGGGATGCAGTGCAGAGAGAAGTGGATCCTGAGGGTTCTCTGGTAATCTAGCCTTTCCAAAAAGTGGTGAGCATCCAGTGTAGTGAGAGACCCTGTCTCAAGGTAATATGATAGAAAGCAATAGAGAAGTACCCCGGCCCCATATTCCTGTGCATGTACCATACAACCACAGACAGACAGACACACATACACACGCACAAAACACCACATACATATGCACATACACTCCACACCACACACAGGGACACACACACTGTACTATTCATACAGATATACACATTGTATATACACACACTCACACCATGCTCCCCAACACACATTGTACACACACACACACACACACACACACACACACACACACACACATACACACACCCCTGAAAACCCAAAAGCAGTCTATGACACTGGCTTATGTCCGGCCAAAAAATAACAACATGGCTTATTTATGTAACAACACACATATACATCGACATATTAATGCATTATAGAAAAAAAAGTTTCATTTTAACCTTTTCTGTTTATTTCATCCATCACAATATAAAAAAAAATTGCAAAGAAAGAAAGCTAAGGATGACTTCAGGATCACTGACGGTGAAAAGCCACAGCTTGCTAGGGTTTATGGTTTACTTACCCGATGACTGAGCTAGCTGCTATACTAACCTCATCCCCCAGAACAGGCAGAGCTGGGCAGCAGACGGTAAGCACACGGAGTTCCTTGTTAAAAGCTAGCAGAGGAAGTGTTGGTTTCCATGTGCTGGTTTCAAGCCTGATTGTTTCTGTTGATTCTCTTTCCCTGCTCTCCATCCCCTGACCCTCTGCCCCCTCCACCTCCAGTGGCCTCTTTGGCACTTCCCTGTCACAGCCCACATGTCCTGTTGATGCTGTGAACTGTGGACCTAAGCTTGAAAATGTGTTTGCTGTATTCCGCTTCCCGCTCGACCTCAAAGGCAAAAGGACACTCTGGAGTGTCAGCTGCTGGGATAAAACAAGAGCCCCAATTCCAGGTGCAACAAACACCAGATCACTTAAAGGCAAGTTCGGCAGGAACATTGACCTCTCCTCACCAAATCTTTCGTAGTCCGGAAGTTTTCACTCTTGAAAGACACAGGGGAGGACGCGGGTCCCAGATTTAGTGGATTTATTTCTGCTGCGCAACTGATGTCACCAGCCTACAGAGAAGAAGACCATGTCAGACTTGGAAAGAAAAATGGTTGGTGCTGTTTCTTTCAGCCTGCCAGGAAATCCTGCCGTCGTGTGGGGTATGGGAGGGACCCTAAGCTGCTTTCTCAGGGGCTCAGTGGCCAAATGCTTGTTCTCCAGTAAAACCTGAAGTATTCCAGTCAGCTGATGTGACCAGAGGAGGCAGGCCAGCTTCTCATAGCCTGTCATGATTTCAATGTAGTTTGTTCCTCAAAGTTCACACATTAGAAGTGTGGTCCTCAAGTTGGCAGTGTGGAGAGAAGGTGGGACCTTTAGAGTTGGGTTCCATTAGAACATCTACAGGCTAATTGGAAGGATGTCCTAAAAAAGGGAGTTCAGAATTCTAGGCCCTCTCTAGTTTCCAACTCGGCAAATGTACTTCCATCTGCCTCCCCCCACCCCCCTTATACCAACTACCATGAGTCCCTCACCAGAGCTGAAATGATGCTGGCATCCTATCATTAAATAGCAAGAGCTGGGGTTTAAATAAGCCTCTTTATCTGTAAAGATGCAAAATGAACTAATACTTTTCCAGTGTGACATGAGATTAAGGGGCCAGTCCTGCAGACCCAAAGCTGCAGGATTTCCACAACACAGGGCAACAACAGGAGATCCAAGAGAAGTCCCAGTGAAGGTCTAGCATGGATAGTGTAGCAGAAACCAGAGGCCTCAAACGGGACCAATGGCTCTTTGCAATGAACGTTTGCACATAAAGATATATGGATAAAAGGGTTTACTGCGTGACTCACTATGTCACATTATAACTTCCATGACAAGATATTTCCTTTTTTACTCTAATTTTTTTTTTTTTTTTTGTTTCTTTTGGGGAAGGTTACAAGGGCAGAGGTCGGATACAAAGGAATGGGGAAATGAATGGAGTCAAGATGCATGATGTGAAAGACACAAAATAAATAAATTTTTTTTTTTTAAAGAATAGTAAAACAAAAACACCATGAGTGATTCAATTCAAGGTTCTTTTCCCTGGAACACTTTAGGACTTTAATTTCTTGAAGTCTACTATGCATATTACAGAAATAATACTGCTGTAAGACCAGTTAAGTGCTCAACTAAAGGAGACCCAATGTTAACACATTTGGTTATGGCAGCAGGCACTACCTCTTGGTCCAGGCCGCATGAAAGAACCCCTGTCTGTAGCTTTCAAAGAGGAATGCCATAGCGAGACAGTTGTGTAGCTGATCTCCTTAAGGGCCCCCCTGGCAGTAGGATCAGAATCCATCCCTGGTGCATGAGCAGACCTTTTGGAGCCCACTTCTATGATGGGACACCCACGGACAGCCTTGAGTCGGGGAAGGGGCTTAGGACTGCCTCTACTAAATGTACCTCCTCCCCATGGGGAGGCCTTACCATCTTGTAGAAGGGGATAGGGGTGGGTTGGGAGGGGGAGGCTGGAGGAGCAGGAGGAGGGAAGAGGGGGATCTTTGGTATATAAAATGAATAAAAAAATTTCTTAATCAAAAAGAAAAAGAAAGAAAGAAAGAAAAAGAAAGGAATGCTAGTGTTCTGACCTTATCTTCAGATCCTGATTTCATTGCCTTGATGGCTCTCCTTAAAAGGTAACTGGGGTAATTAAAATGAATAGCTAGGACTGAGTCCTACTGGATGAAAGTCCAAGCCAGCTGCTTAAAGACCAGCTACTAATTGAAGCTTTCTAGACCTACTAAGTGCTACATGCCCACAATAGACCGAACTTCTCACTTCTCAGGTTTCTCTTCTAATAGGGTTCTGACCAAGTCAAATCCTCTCCTACCCTGAACAGAGATCTCAGCCACCAGGACGCTGATTTTCTTAGGACGGTGTTCTGCTTATAATATGAAGTCTGATGCTGGATTGTTGGGATCTGGTATGCGTAGCGTTCTCTTTGTTTTTTCAACATTCAGGTGCAGACACCATCACCCTTAAGTCATGGGTTCTGTACATCTGTATGGCCGGTTGTGTTGTCCTTACCTCGTCTGTTTGCACCCCGGTCAGATACAGGAGTGGGTTCTTTGCCTTGGTGTACTGAGGGATGTGGATCGTTACCGACGCCATGCTTACTGGAGAGCTTCCTGTTGTCACCTATGTAGAGAACCACACATGACACAAATGCTGCCAGAAAAACCACCCCTGATGCTAGTCGAGGGGGATAAAGAGTAGCAGCGTGGCTTGGGCAAGAAACTGAACCTCCCTAAGGATAATTTTTCACCTAAAAATTAAAGATCATCAAAAAATGTGCTATCTGTTCTCACTAATGGGAATTATGTTGTTAGTGTGTAAAACCCACAATCCAATGTCTGATGCTTACATTCTTAATAGTGTGATTATTATTATTATTATTATTTACCATGAATTGATTAAAAATCCTATAAAGCATGTGGTTACCATCCTCATTTTCTGAAACACAAAATCTGGATAACAAATCAAGATTCTTTTGTCATTAAAGACATGACACTAAACTGCAGATCTGAAGGTGTGCATGTCCTAGTGGAAATGCACAGACACAGAATGGTACTGACTCAGGGAGGCGGGTGAATTCCTATTTACTTTCCAAAGTTTCTATAGCATTCTTTTCTAAATCAACTATTCTTTTATAACTTATTTTTTCTCTCTCTTTCTCAGTCATACTCTGTGGCCCAGACTGGCCTTAAACTTACAGCAATCTCACCTCAGCTTCCCAAGTTCTGGGATTACAGGTGTCTTTCTTTGAATTTCTCTATAATAACTGATTCCAATCTTTAGATTTATAGCTACTTATTCAAAGATACTTAGTTATGTTGCATTGAATTGACTCAAAGCATTTTAGATACTACTTAGCATAACTGTACAAAAGCCCTACCTGTACTGTGTACAAATGATGAGCTTTTCAAACAAGACTGGTCTCCAAGCATAAAGTAGTGTAAAAGACACTCATCCACAATAATGCCAGTGTAGCGATGCCTTGTTCGTTCATCCTGAGTATTTTCTTTGAAAATATATAATTTCTCCCTTACTAACGACGCACAACTAAACACTAGTGTAGCTAGAGTTTTCCTGCCTGGCCCACAGTCAGGGCAAATCTCTCTCACTGGCCAGTCCCACAGCTGCTCAGACCCAACCAAGTAAACACAGAGACTTATATTGCTTACAAACTGTATGGCCGTGCCAGGCTTCTTGCTAACTGTTCTTATATCTTAAACTAATCCATTTCTATAAATCTATACCTTGCCACGTGGCTCGTGGCTTACTGGCATCTTCACATGCTGTTTGTCATGGCGGTGGCTGGCAGTGTCTCCCTTCCACCTTCCTGTTCTCTCAATTCTCCTCTCTGTTAGTCCTGCCTATACTTCCTGCCTGGCCACTGGCCAATCAGTGTTTTATTTACTAACCAATCAGAGCAGCACATTTGCCATACAGAACATCCCACAGCACACAAGTCCTTCTACTTTCCTGTCATCTACCTCAATGTTCTCAAAGTATGACACCCAAGCCAGCAGCATCTGCAGCATGGCCCATGGGCTTGTGGGAAATGCACACTTCCAGACTCACCACAGACCTTCTGAGTCAGAAACCTGGGGACGGGGCTCAGCTGTGTGAGCTGTAACACACTCTCCCGATGTTATTGCACACTCAAGATTGACAACCATTGTGTTACATTGTGTTACTTTCTTCTCATCCTATACTCCCTGACTTCGCTCCTCCTCTTCCTGCTTTGTCATCTTTATGACAAGCTTACCAACCTTGAGGGAGAAGACGAATTTAGGACCAATATCTTCAACACTGTTTATGACAGAAGGGGCATTCTCATCCGAAGAGATTTCACAAAAGTTTATGTTGGTGGATCTGTTGGGTGACATTGGTAAAACCAGTTATTTCTGTTTTGTTGTTGCTCTTGAAATATTATATTTATTTTATATAAGTATCTTCTAGCTTGGATTACCATCAAAATGGTTCAGTTTTACTTACAGAAGCACCAAATGTTTATTCTACCTTTTAAGCTTCCACATGAGAGAATATGAGAATCTACTGATATGAGAATATGAGAATTCTGCTTGGCTGCTGTCTGGGGAGTATGGTAATGGCAGTGCTACCTACCACTGACATTATTTGTATGCACATATATATAATATTGAGCCTCTAAATATTTAGAATTATTAATTATTATCATAATCCAAAAGTTAAAAAATAACAAATGTGAATGAATGCATGTTAGATTCCACAGACCAGTGTATGTTTCTGAGATTAAAACAACTTCCTTTTAAATCATACTCCTTCACTGTCCTTCTGAGGACAGCCTGTGTGTTTATCAGTTGTCAAGTTTCTAACACAGGTGTAAAAGTATTGTTTGAGGACTGACAGTTGTATTAGTCTCCAGACTTCTGTTACATTGGCAAATGTGTTGAAAAGGTAGACACTCCAGCTTTGGTGGTTGGATTGGATCTCTAAGCCAAGATTTTCTTCCCTTGCTTGGGGCTGTAGTACAATGATGGGTACCAGTTACTAGCTCCTGCAGTATTTGTTACTAAATGTCTTTCAGACAGGGCATAGATTTATTTTATTAATCTTTCTCTAGTTTTTGACCAACTTGAATAGTTGGCAATGAATTGAGGGTTGACTGAATTTGTTTCCATCATTGCAGAACCACTCTTAAAATCCAAAGATTTTTTAATATGAGATCTTGACCACATGATTTAGGATTCATGATTAATGCCTGCAAGTATAGTAATGCCCAGGCCAGAGGATTCCCCAGGAAACTGTTCAGATGTAGGTGAAACTGGATATCTTCCATTTTCTCACCTATTTACGATGCTTTGAAGCTATAGCCCAACCAGGCAGCTTCTTTGCATTATGTGGAGTGCAAAGGAGCTGATAGCCAGAGTGGGATTCTGAAAAGCATTATGCATGCCCCTTCACGCATTCCAGGGGACAATTTATCTAGATTATGGGATGTTCAGTTCACTTCCTAAAAGAATGGACTAGACATTTTCTGAGACAGAATATTTTCTATCCTCTGGGCATCACTATCTCTTTCTGTCTTTATCTCTCTGTACCTGTCTCTTTCTCTCTGTCTCTCTCCTTCTCCCCCTCCTCTCTCTCCCCCCTCTCTCCATCTTTTACGAAAGTTCTTCCAAAATTTCAAAAGGAAAATCTGTCACAGGGAGAGTTGAATATATGTGGAATTTGTCAAAGTTTTATGTGTATGAGAGGAAACAATGATGTGTCAGCCTTGTATGGAAAATGGGAAAACTGACTCGGATTTGAAACAGAAAACTCAGCTGTGTGTGCATGAGTTATCCTCTTTGCTTTCCAGATGTTTATGTAAGCCCCTAAACAGAGCCAACTCCTAAATTGATTGATACAGTCTGCTTTTTGTATTTTAAGGAGATCCAACACTTGTCCACTTTTTACATAAGTTTTCTCTAGTTTACTTAGGTTTACAGTAGCAATCATCTAAATTCAGGAGGATCCTGTTAAAAACAATTCTATTTATATTTATTATATGCAGAAAATATAGTGGCACATGTATACAGTATTACGGTGGATAAAGGACATGATAGGTGGGACTTTTCGCAAAAGTTTACAAAATGTTAAAGCTTTTTTTGCAGTATTGTTTTTGATGGCTATACAAACAAAAATGTGAAACAACCAATATATCTTATTACTGCTAGAGTGGTTGCATGAATTATGATTTATTCAGAAATAGAATGAGTTAAATATGTATAACCTGCTATGAAAACCATATGAAGATATGAAAGAATGTTTTAGTATTCCCTTTTAGTAGGTAAAATGTTTGAGCATGAGTGCGTGTATAACCTTGAAGATAAATTAACCGTATGTGTTGAAGATATTCCAGAATAGTCTCATTAGTCATTTGTGGGGACTGTCATCAAGGTGGAGGATAATGCTAATCTCTTCACTTTGTGTTTTCCTGTAAGATTTGGATTTTCCAAATACATTCATGTAATGCTTTAAAAAAGAGAAGCATGTGGGAAGCCATCTGGGCAGAAGATGTCAGAAGTCATTTCTTTAATATTCTCCATAACAAAAATTTTTACCATATACCTTAACATTTTATGACATACTATAGACTCTAATACCAGGATGAATTAGAATAAAAGTTGCAGTCACAAAAAATACATGGCTAAGATGTTAGTAAAAGTAAAGTCATATTTTAATACTATATTTATTCCATGTTAACCCACCTGAAAAAATATAGACTCTCACTAAATGTGTTTAAGAGAATACAGAATTGTATGTAATAGAGGGGAAAATTTTGGGTGATGTGGCAATACTCATTACTGTAGCTTTGTCATTAATTGCGTGTTCTAGCAAAGAGAGATTTTTGGAAACTCTAGCTACGGATACACTTATCAGGGCTGGATAACATGGGCTATGTTTTGTTTCTACATGCACCTTTGTGACTTTGATACAGACATGTTCTTTTTATCTTTGCTCATCTGTCTCAGGCTTCACACAGGATGGCAGGTGTTCCTTTTCAGTTTTGTTTTGTAATTTATTGCATGAACTGTATGTTCCATGCTTTCATGGACTGGGCTGTCAAGACAGGGGTTAGAGAATGTGGTGACCCGTATACTTACTGGGACACCAGTGCTTAAATGTTTTCAGAGGTCTTTGGTTTACACAGGGAAGTAGCCTTAGTTCTGAGAGTGAACTAAGGTTGGATCTGACTATAGCACCTTTTGGATTTGTATGTTACCCATTTCCCCCAGAAACCTGCCTCTGATGTCTACTGGTAACATTTTAACTACTGTCCTCAGGTTGACCTGCATTGGAAGGCAAGAAAAAGGTATTAAGCCTTTCTTCACGGATGACTTCTTTTGGAAAATCCCTCATTTCCTCCTGGTTGGAAGAAAACCATCATCAGTCATGTCTGAAGTTTTCCATTAAGAAGCTAGACTTGGTCTAGTTTCCATATCAGCTTATTTATCCCATGACTCCATTTCTTATTTGTTGTGCCCCTTCAATGTCCAAAACATGGTGCTGGGGACTTTCATGTCCAAGAACAGGTCTATTCTTGACATCCAGTATCATATTGTGAAGGGAGCAGTGAGAAGTGTTGGCAACTCTCACAACCTCCAAGAGTCTGTTTCTGCATGTTAGGACAGATTACAGGCAGCTTACCACCTTCAGGGGTGCTGACCTATGACATGTGATGAAAACATTTTTCCTCTGCCATTTCCTCTGGTGCTATTCTGAGTCAATAAACCTAAAGAGTTCAAGGGTTCCTAGGCATCAATTTGTCTGCATATTTCTAATCTAGTTGACAAGTCGGAAATAAATTCATGTGCTAAGACTGAGCCGACAGTGGACTGTAGTCCTGAGCTAAATGAGTCATGTACCAGGGTGCTGTCAGGGGGAAAAAGCTACCCACTCGGGTAGCAGGCTTCACCTACCGGGTTAAGTGAAGTTCGGCGTCATACAGAAGAGGGATCTTGAGACTGACGGAATTATCCACTTTGTTGGCTTCTTGGCTCTCACTATGAAAACAAATATTAGAAATTACTTAAAGAGACATCTCATAAAGCCTACCTAGCATAAAGTTATGATGACATTGCGTCTTACCTGAAGGCTTGGAAATGGATGGATGCCTGATTCTGGAGGTTTTGAAGGTTGAAGTCGAAGTTGATGGTAAAAGTCACCTAGACACATTAAAATCCATCAACCTGGGATACTGTATACCAGGGAAAAAAGTTCCCCAGCAAGATGAACCCATTCTCTTGTAACTCTGGATTTCATGTCTCAAAATTTTGGTTGTAGACCATGTCTGAGTACCTTGCTTACCTGAGAACCAGAGCTTAATTTCTATCAGAAGTATATGCCATCCAGCTACATTTTTCAGAATTGTCAAGTTTTGTGGTGATCTAATATTTACTTACATGACTTTGACCAGTGTTGGTCAACACAGTCACACAAAAGAGCATTATGTATGGCATGTGCACTTGGAAAAAGGTACATGAGGAAATGCTACCTTTGTTAACGATTTAAAGAGAATGACCCCAGTGAGGGAACCCCTTCCAGGAATGTGGCTGGTGATTTTGTGATGTCTGTTAAATGATGATGCCTGGTAAAGACAGTGAGTGCTCTCGAGTGTGGAGAGCTGGGATTAGAGGACACAAGCTGTACCTGCTGTTCACTCTGTAAGGCAGGATATCCCACATCACAGGTGACAGATTTCTGCGATGAGCCAACCTGGCATGTTACTTCTGTCCCATCGACCTGAAGGGAACCAAAGGAGTAACAATTAAGTGTGTGTGTGTGTGTGTGTGTGTGTGTGTGTGTGTATGTGTGTGTGTGCACCCACATTGAAAGGTGGACAAGACATCTTAGCAGTGATATTGGTTTATATTGAAATAGTTTATTGCTCTCAAAGACTTGAATACCTTGTATTATCCAAGTGGTTAACATGTTGTTTTTATTGCCAACTCTAAAGACACACTCAAGAAGCTAAAGGATTGGGGAAATATGTACAAAGATGGAAATCAACTTTTGTATTTCAGCAGCACAAATACCTTTAACATAATATTCAGGAGCCTAATACTTAGAAATACCTTCTTCATAATGTTTTTGAAATATGTATTTTTAAGAGAAGAAAAATACATGTTGGCATTTGTATTTTAAGTAACTAACAGGTTTTGCCAGTTTTCATCAGTTCATTTTGTTTTTAATGTAAGAGCTGCTATTTGGCACAGGCCATTTAAACAGAGGTCAGCATAGGTTTGCAATTCTAAACCTCTAAAGTTTACATTAATGTGAAATAGAAAGAAACTTTTTTATATCCTTTAATCAAGCAGCCCAGTTGGAAAATAGATTTTCCTTCTTTTCTTTTTTTTCTCCTCATGGCTTGAGAGCAGAAGAATTAGCAAGGGGCTCTCCCGGTTAAGTGTATTCCTGCTTTAGTGATCAGGTCAACTCAATAGAATGGCTTGGCAGGAATGCACCATCCTGGCACCAGAAGTAGCAGCATCCTGAAGCTGGGACTACACTGTGGGACTGGATGCCACTGAGCAAGTGCACCACATCTGTCCGGCACAGGACAGGCGGCCTCCTCACAGCACCGATGGCTGGAGAAGTTATGAGTTGTCTCCGCCAAGGCCTGGGGTAAAGGAAAAAGTGACCCTCACTGCTAATGGAGCCGCCCTAGATTCGGAGCCAGACTGCATTCTCAGGAGGCTTTACTAACTGGAATCCACAAGGTGGGACTGAGCATGCCTGGGGTCAACTTTGATTTTTTTTCAGACAGCTTGGAGGACAGGGAGGTCTTAAGTACCAGAGACAGCGATTGGCAGAGCTAAGGAGCGAAATGCTGTGTGGGGGTGTGGTTTGTGGGAGTGTGGGGGGGTTGGGGGGATAGGGATGTGTGTGTGTGGCGGGGAGGGGGGGGGGCGCTACAGGGGGTGGGGTTCCTTACTTACCGGCATGGTAAAAGAAGCAAAAAACAAGTTCTCTGAGAAGTCAGCCACGACTGCTGTGTTGTAAGCACTCTCCCCTCTGTTCTTCAGTGTGACTGAAAATGTTAACCTTTTGTTCTGGTTGCTGACAATAAAGGGTTGATTTCTGTTCACACAAGAAAAGGGGGACAGGTAAAGCCACTGAAGTTAAAACTACCCCAGTATTCAACACTTCCTCTGTAAAAAAGAAATCCAAAATTTTATCTTGAATGAGGAGAGGTAATGCGCCTTTTATTTCTACATTTTTTTTTCCTCATAGAAATGTAAAGTTGAACATACTGCATGTCTGGCAGCTGTTGGATGTCCAGGATCAGGTCAGAGATGCAAAGTCCATCGCTGCCACATTCTTTATAGAAAGGAATCTACAACAAAAGAAAAAAAAAATCATCATTCTTGGGTACTTGTGGATTAAAAACAAAACATAAAAGAATATATACAATATTATCCCATTTGCATAAAGGTCAAAACTATGGGATCCCAGCACTCGGGAGGCAGAGCCAGGTGGATCTTTCTGAGTTTGAGGCCAGCCTGGTCTACAGAGCGAGATCCAGGAAAGGCGCAAAGCTACACAGAGAAACCCTGTCTTGAAAAACCAAAAAACAAAACAAAACAAAAGGTTGAAACTATGGGAAACAAAACAAAGTTTTAGGAGCTTCTACATAGCATAATCATAAAGAAAAAATATTGAAAAATACAAAATTCAAGATAATAGTTTGCTTTTCTGTTTGTTTGTTTATTTATTTGTTTTGTTCTTTTTGAGACAGTTTTTGCAACTTGCTCTGTAGACCAGGCTGGCCACGAACTCAGAGATCTGCCTGCCTCTGCCTCCTAAGTGCTGGGACTAAAGGCCTGCGCTACAATGTCTGGCTGGTAATAGCTTGTTTGTGGGCAGCTAAATTAAAATAGTTATAATGGAGAGAGACAACTCCACAGGCATCTGAATTTTTAAGTGAGTGTTAACACAAGCAGTTTGGCCGGCTTTAGTCTTTATTTCTTCAAGAAGCATTTGTTGAACACCTATGGTGGCTTGGCACCTCTCGGGGCTGGAAACAGAGTGGTGAAGAAGAAATCTCTGCTTTGTGGAACTGAAATGCCCACGAATTGTGTGCATCATTACATTTAGGCCGCATCTGTGGCATCTGTAACACCCCAGTGACTATGGAAGCTGCTTGCCAGCCTCCACTTGGGAAGGGCAAGCCACACTCACGCTGAAGATTTTGACAGTATCCGAATAGGCTTCAAGGGCAGGGCTAGTGCCAGGGTTTTCCAAACTGATGTCCACACGCAGATCCAAAGGGTTGACGACATCAGAGGGCTTCTAAATACAGGAGGAGGGGGATGATTGATTACTTAGACATAGTAACTTAAAAACAAAGTCCGCAAATGTGTTTATAATTAAAAGCACCATCAGTTACAGAGAAGAGGCTTGTGCCGAATGACCAAGACTTCCTCTTTGGTCCCAGTTCTGCTCTTATCCTCTAAATTCAGAAGGCTAAGGGGACTCGATTACAATAAAAATCTGAAGTGGCAATTCTTACTGAAATGGTAAATAATCTGATTATTTACACACAGTAATTATGAGTATTTAGATATGTCCTATGTCAGTGCCCAGCTCTTGGGTGGTCTTGCTTCTCATTCCTAGTGTCTTCTCTCTTCTTCCCATGAAATCTGGAATTGCGTGGGTAATTTGACCCCATAGTAGACAAAGTCTGGAAAGAACGGAAGCCAAGTTTCTTTCCTGCTCTGTCTCCTCCCTCCTTCCCTTCCTGTCTCCTCGCCCATCTCAACCCTTTGTTCCCGTCCACTCCTAACCCTTCTCTTTCCTTCCAAATGTGTGTGTGCACATGTGTGTATGTGTGCACATGTGTATGTGTGCATGTGTGTGTGTGTGCATGTGTGTGGCACATGTGTATGTGTGTGTGTGTGTGTGTGTGTGTGTGTGTGTGTGTGTGTATGATGCACAGGGACCTTCAATAACTAACAAAAGCCCCAGGTGTTCATAAACAAGAATTCTTCAAATTAACCGATAAATAGAATAACAGAACTAATTTTGATGCATCAAAATTTCAAGAGATTTTCCCACAGTGTGTGTGTGTGTGTGTGTGTGTGTGTGTGTGTGTGTTACATGCACATGTATATATGTGCCCATGTGGAGGTATCTTCTGTTACTTTTAAGGTATTATTACACAGTTGCTGAGGGGGGTGTTTCATATAACTTATAAAATAAGTTTCTGATTGGAAAGTTTTTCCTAAGAAGCATTTTTCCTACAGGATAGATTTCCCAAATCAATGTGAACTCTGGCACTTATGGCCTAATAGGAGAACAAGGAATCTTTATCACATAATCTCCCATCATTCACCTAGCACAGCGGTTCTCAACCTGTGGGTTATGAGCCCTTTGCGGGTCGCATATCAGATATCCTGAATGTCAGATATTTACATTATGATTCATAATAGTAGGAAAATTACAGTTGTGGAGTAGCCATGGAATAATTTTATGATGGGGGGGGTCACCACAACATGAGAAACTGTACTAAAGGTCACAGCATTAGGAAGGTTGAGAACCACTGACCTAGTGTAAAGCGGTATTAGACACCACTTTTGAGATTTTCATGTTCAGTAGCTTAAAATGACTGAAACTTTTACCTGATGGGAGAGATGTCAAAATGAAATTGTCAATGGAAAGTTCACTCAATTAGTCATTTAAGAAATTGGGGGATTCGGGGATGCGGGGTGGCTTGGGAAAGAGGGCTGGGGGGTGGGAGGAGGGAGGAGGGGGGAATCTGTGGATAGTATGTGGAGTGAGTAGAAAATTTCTTAATAAAGAAAAATGAAAGAAGAAAAAAACCCAAAAAATCCAAAACAAACAAACAAACAAAAAAGAAAATGTTGTCTTTCAATTTTAAAAAAGCATTTATTTAATTAATCTAATTATTTTCTTTATTCAATGTGTGTATGGTGTAGGGGCACGTGTGCCTGTGTATATGTGTGTGTGTGGTGTATGTGCACATGTGTGTGTGCACGTGTGTGCGAATATATGTGTTGTGCATGTGGGGTGTGTGTGTGTGTGTGTGTGTGTGTGTGTGTGTGGGCCAAGGGGGACATCAGATATTTTCCTTCATTATGCTCTACATTTTCCCCTTGAGATGGAGTCTCTAGATGATCCTGAGTTAGCCTGGCAGCCAGCAAGCCCCAGAAATTGTCTTGTCTCTGACGTTCACAGCACTAGGCTTACAGGCACATGTATAGCCATATTTGACATTTTTACATAAGTGCTGTAGATGTGAATTCAGGCACTAATGCTTATGCAGAAGGTATCCTTAGCAGCTCAGCCATCTCTCTAGGCCCCAGTGTTTGATTTCTTTAACAATCTTTTATCCCCTTTAGTTGCCATCCCTATATAAAATGTAATGCCACTAACACATATAAAATCAGAATGTGGCCGGGCGGTGGTGGCGCACGCCTTTAATCCCAGCACTTGGGAGGCAGAGCCAGGCGGATCTCTGTGAGTTTGAGGCCAGCCTGGGCTACCAAGTGAGTTCCAGGAGAGGCGCAAAGCTACACAGAGAAACCCTGTCTCGAAAAACCAAAAAAAAAAAAAAAAAAAAAAAAAAAAAATCAGAATGTGACCGTAAGTATTATAAAAGAAATGTGCTTCTCATTCACAGAGTTAGACAAGAGATGCAGTCATTAGAAAGGCGAGCATTTCCTAACATGTCAATCCCACTGTAGACTTTCTGTACTCGCTAATCTTTTAGAAGAAAGAGGTGGAGAGATGTAACTCGGAGGTCTCACCTGTATGCTAATGTGGTGCTCAGAACAGCTCTGTACTTCATTTACAACCGTGTTCTTCTGCAGGAATCGTTCACTGTTTTCTTTAAATATCCCCCTGGAGGTTACTCTGGACGAATATCTGTCCGCATCAAGGGTCATGTTAAACAGGATGGCTAGGATAAAATCACAAAGAAATATGTCCAGTGAGCTCTGAAGAAGAAAACAATCTTGTTTTCTTGTATCTTATTGGACAAGAGCCTGACATCAAGAAAATGCAGAAACCAAATGGCATTTGTAATTTCATGTGATTCAGTCCAAGTGAAGGAAAAAACAAAAAACTGAACCAGAGAAATGCAGCAATCAGCAATGGAAAACAAAAACAATTGTACTTGCCCCGGGAAATCTACTGGATAAATTGGGCAAATTAATCCCTTTCCTGTGTATTAGCTTCATTTGCCATTAGCATAGGGCACACAGAGAAGTCGTCATTATGGAACGCCTCCGGTTGAACACATCCTCATATGCTACCAACTCTACAGTAAACCTGGACACTGGATATCCTGACGCTACTGTCGAGATAACAAACTAGATCAGATGAGGCAGAGTAATGGGCATGAGTTCACACCGCTGGCACAAGGTCAGAGGTGAAATATGATTCATTTTGAAATGAAGGTTCACGTTCTTTCCATTTCCACGCCATTACAAGGACTAAATGTTATTATGAGAAGTAACTGTGATCATCTACGGACAGGGCCTGCCATATTCTAGATGCTCACGTGGAGAAAGATGTGCATCATCGCAGCCCCAAGGTTTGAGTCAGATATTCTTAGATTGACAGTAATCCTACAGTTTATGACCTCCTTGACCTTGAGCTACCCTCTTTGAGTCTCTGTTTCTCTAGCAATCATAAATGATTAATATCAATTCAGGGGAGTGGAAATGAAGAAACTCCTGTGTGATGAGAAAATGATGACAGTAACCAAGGTCTAAATAGTCACACCGGCTGCCTTTAAGAACGTCCATGGGCCACATCCCAGAAATTAGACAGCTGGTTACAGCAGCTGTCTAATTTGGAATTACTTTATCAGATTTATTCAGTATTTTAAAGTTGAATATAATTCCCAAGACAATGTATCTACGTTACCTTTAATATCTCTATTAAAGAAACAAGAAATTTCTGGGTTTCCGTGACTTAATGAGACCAACAAGAACGTCAAAAACATGAAAGAATTGAATGGACAGATGAAAAGAAAATGATAAAAAATATGGAAATGGAAAACTAATAACAGGGGGGCTGGATAACTGTCAAAAGGACAAAGTTAGCACACTTGATATACTTTTTTAAAAAATAGCTTGATAAAATAGATATATAGTTCCATAGATCATACGGTTTTAAAAATGGGATTTCGTTCTTGTGTATTGTTATTGCTAAGCAACAAAGTGAAAACTTATGACCTGCTCCTCAGGGTAGACCTGAGCACAGCAGGATAAAGTGTCAAAAGGGCAAGGTTCCCATTGGGGAGAAAAGCCCCAAATCCAAAAGCCAATCAGTGGGAAGGGAATCCTCTGAAAGTACAGGGTTTTCAGGATGTGCCAACAGAACATATGAAGAACACTCAAAACGTGGAAGACGCACAAGGCTTATTCATGCTTTAGGGCCAAGATAGCTGGGCAGCCAGCCATGTCTGCCAGAGAATGCATTTTCCATTTTAATCTTTTAAGCAGACTAAAAATGTTCATATGGTGGTGGTTTTCGGCTTAACTATGATGGCTGCTCAGATGAATGTGTGCTCCAAGGCAGGCCTGTGAGGTATGCCACTCAAAGGTGGGTCAGGGTTTGAACACCTGAGAGTAAGGAGATCCAGAAGCGGTGCCAGTTGTGAATCCCACTTTGGCTTCTCTCCTTGTTCATTTATTTCTTGGCACGAAGCATGACAACCTACCGACCCGATTGTTTTCGGCCTGTATGTTAATTTGCTTGCAATTTCATTAAGTGCCACTAGGAACTAAGAGATCTGAAATATAGAGCTGGAGTCTGATGGAGGGGAGATCAGAATCCATGGATTAGCAAGGGAAAACATTCAGCTTTTAATGAAGTGGTGTTTTGCTTGTTGTCTACAGAGGATGCTGAGACAACAGAGCAGTTGTTTGGTTAGAAATGGCTTCAAAGAGGATGCTGTACCGCAGTCAGGTCCTGCAAGATGACCTCATCTCTCTAGGAGAGACAAGACGACAGTTCCTGCTGACATTTGCCCACAGTCCTGCCTGAGCTTTCCCCTGTCTGATGGGACACACTTCAGACTCCTGCTATAGAAATGGTAAAACAATGGTTACAAAGTGTATGTTCCCCTCTCTTTTTCTTCTGCTTGATACCAGTGCTTTTACTAAGCACACCTATGTAGACAATGGCATTGACAGAAGGTGGCCCACTCATTTAGAACTTGCCACAGTTCAATGAAATCTGTGTGTGCTGAGGATCTGCGGAAGGGAACTGTGGATAAGAGAGACTCAAAGAAAGAGCCTATGATTATGCCATTGTGATTACAATGTTTTGCAGTAAAATGTCACCAGCTAGAGCTGAGCAAGGATGCTCTAGACAAACCTCCCATGCCTAATGAACTACTCTTAGGTACTGAATGTGTGGCAATTTAAGCATGTCCAGTAAAAGATCCTTATTTCTGCCGGGCGGTGGCGCACGCCTTTAATCCCAGCACTCCGGAGGAGGGGCAGGGGGATCTCTGTGAGTTCGAGGCCAGCCTGGGCTACCAAGTGAGTCCCAGGAAAGGCGCAAAGCTACATAGAGAAACCCTGTCTCGAAAAACCAAAAAAAAAAAAAAAAAAAAAAAAAAAAAAAAAATTCTTATTTCTTCTGGTCTGCAAACCAGAACTTCTAGCTAAAGCTGTCAAGGCAAACCCATCTCCGTATGGGTTATTTAAGGTCTACTCACCCACTTGATGGTTTTGCCCAGTAGGTCTAAACTTTGCTCTGAAGCAAAGTTTGAGAATTATCTTAGCATCCTTGTTGAGCAAAGTGATTTTGTCTGGAGTGAATGAAGCGTCTATAGCCACATCAGCAATGCTTTGTGACCTGAAAGACACAAATGGAAACATATGCACATTATTGCTCAGCATACCAGCGAACATGACCTTCACATAGAGGACCCAGAGCTGGTATCATTGAATTTTTCTCTCCATTGTCTTAGAATTTGAGCAGTTTTTCCTATTTGAAAGCAAAAGATCGCAGCAGGAGTGAATGGATTTTTTTGTTGGTAACTGTGTGCCCTATCTATATCTATATCTATATCTATATCTATCTATCTATCTATCTATCTATCTATTTATCTATATGTGTGTGTGTGTGTGTGTGTGTGTGTAATATATATAAGTAACAGTTGCGCCTACACAGAATAGAAACCTGAAATCTCTTTGCAAATGAAGTGTTAAGTCATGACCCTTCTGTGTCTTTCCAACTGGGGTTGGTGTAACTCTTGCTTCTTGAGATGGCAAGAGAGAGAGAGAAGACAGGGAAATGGAGGTGTCAGAGCTGATGAATGTTGCCATGGCTTGTGCCTTGCTGCCTCCATGGTTAGCGTCACCTGTCCATGATGGTGGCAATGAGCATGATGGCAAAATATGACTGAGGTGTCCATCACAGGGTGCCAGAGTTTTCTATCCCAGTGTGGCCCTTTGTATACCTGAGACAGCCTTATTTTCTCTTTCAAAGCTGGCGTGAAATAGAACAAATATTGGTTCCATTCTATTAATGAAAATATCTGAGACACAGGCTTACCATTTCACAGGACACTTGTCAGTGAGGAAATGGAACCTACAGTCTGAGTCCCCCCATTACTGGAATTTGAACTTTACCACAATGACTCCTGTGTACACCTTCCACTATTTCTAAGGTAGCAAGCAATGATTAGCAATTTCACCTTTTTGAAAAGTACTACAAATAGATCCAGAAAACATTTCTTTTTATTTTTAGGCATCACTGGAAAGACTATTTCAAAAGTTACTATGTATCTGTGATTTCTCTTAATATGCAGCCATGACATATCTAATAAGAAATGTAACAGGGCTTCAGGTTTATAATCTAATGCTTAATTGAATTTTAGCGCAACTATTTGAGAGACTGAACATTCATTCTAATACAGATGATGTTGATTTACATGTTTTGTAAATGCATTACATATTATTCCTAGAGTTATCCAGAAAAAGCAGTTCAGCACTTTATAGGAATGTGACCACAGAATATTAGCTTAGCATGAACAGTCAGCTCAGCACATTCATTTGATCCCACGTGTGTTGACTTTTCTGAAGAATCAAGTACACCTTTCAGAACAGAAGCTTAGCCACATCACTGACTAAACTATGTCACAGTATGGTAAATGCAAAGGCACCACATGGGAAAGACTGCCTAGAGGCTTATACGGTGCCATTGCTGCCAAGTATGTGATTGATACATTATGTTAAATGAAGCCATGTAACTCTATAGCACTCCTAGCATGCCGTTCTTTAATTATTTTAACTAATTTTATTCAGTAAATGCATTTTCTAGTTTCTCAGTCTTAAAGCTATCCTTGGTTTTCCATATAACAGTTTCAATTTTCAAAAAGAAATGCATTTCACTCTTGAAAAGCTCAATTCACATGTGTACAGAGTAGCATCAAACTCAGAAATCATATAACGTCAATAGACTGTGTTTCTATTCCCAATATGTCTGGACAGTTAAAGCATATATTTTCAACAGAGAAAAATGGACATATGAGTATTCTTGACTGTATAATCAATTTCTTTTCAATTCCAGTATCTCATTAGATCATCGACCCAAGTTTTGTGTGTATTTGTCTGGTTCTTGTGTGTGTGTGTGTGTGTGTGTGTGTGTGTGTGTGTGTGTGTGTGTGTGTGTGTGTCTGTGTCTGTGTAGGTGCATGTATGTGTGTGCATGTGCATCAGGATGCCAGTGGCCAACTTTGGGTGTCATCCCCCAGGTACTCTGTTGATTGAGACATGGTCTCCACTGCCCTGGGACTTGACAATTAGTCTAGGCTAGCTGGCTAGTGAGCTCCAGGTATTGTCTCTGCCTCACCATCACTGGGGTTACATGCCACTAAGCCTGGCTTTTTGTATGTTTACTTATTTAAATGGTCTCACTATAGAGCTATGGCTGGCCTGGAATGCTCTATGAAAACCAGGCTGGCCTCAAACTCACAGAGACCCACCTGTGGCAGCCTCCCAAATGCTGGGATAAAAGGCGTGAGCTACCTCATCTGGCTCTGTCTGGCTTTTTGATGGGTCCTGGGGACTGAACTCAGGTCCTCATGCTTGTACAGAAGGTTCTTTAACCAACTGAGCTATCTTTACAAGCCCTTCACATACCTAATTTTTAAAACCTTCAACCATATTTCCTTCGAGTCCTTTCATATTCCCCCAACTTTTACACCTACACAGGCAATGAAGAGCTCAGCGAAGCCAAAACAGTGGTTCTTATTCACGACTACGGTTTTAAACTATGCTTTTTAAGCACATAGGAAGTTTCACTTTTTTGTGTCCTACAAGTTTGCTCTCATGAGGTTTCCTGACTGGAAGCTGAAATGAGGCTGTGTGTAAGAAGGTAACATTTAGAAACATGTGGGATAGCATTTTAAGGGCTTCTTCTTTTCTACACACTGACTCTTCACATGAGAAGAAAAGTATGACTCTAATGACAAAGAAATCTATCTATCTCTATATATACATATATGTACGTGTGTGTGACAAAGACACATGCCTGCCAGTAAATTATATATGAATGTATATATACACACGTATATATGTGTACACACACACACACACACACACACACACACACACACACACACACACACACATATGTATTCCCCCAGCTTTCAGAAAAACCATGTGTATTTCTTCCTTTATGCAACTCAAACCATGATAAATACATTTCCTACAGTCTTATAAAATACATTGGGCATTACACATACTATATAATCCAGCAGGTCATTTTAATTAGCCAGTCTTAATCTTGCACTTGCTGACTCACCAGAGTTGAACCACTTGTCCCAAAGCACCAATGGATACATCAGTGATGGAATCCCCATTTAAATCTCCATAGCCATCCAGGGACCTTCCAAAGAACTGGAGGTGGTTCCTGAAGGCTCCATCGGATCCAAGGATTTTCTGTAAGAGCAGATTTAACGTGAAGTTGTAGTACACACAGCTGACTCAGAGCAACAGCCTTTGTCTTGCCCCTTACATTCTCTATATGGTCATTTTTCAGGTTATCTGGTCCAGGAAATTTTATTGTTTTCTTCCCCCACGTATGATCTCTGTATTATTTTTACAATGAATCTTTCCTCAAGGAAACAGCATGGATCTTTAATGTGCTAGTATAAGCCAGTACAAAATGGCGAGAAGTCAGTGGGCTAGGAATGAGCTGAGACAAGTTCAGGTCTTGATTCCTTTCCTAGCTAGCTTTCCTCAGGACTTACACAAAATTGCCTGTTGGTGAGGCCTTCTTCACCATCCTTTGATCATCTGATAGCCCTCACAATACTTGAAAATTGACCTCTTAACTGACTTCTTATGTTTGATGCTTGGCATTTGTTATTATCTCTAGCACTGCAACTTACTTCTTGTATTCACATTTTCTCTTTTGGAATATAAGGTCAGCAAAAAGCAGAACTTTGTCTGTCTTGTTCTGTACAGCATTCTCAGAGATGGCGTTCAACAAACAGTAATGCTTTACTAAATATTTTTGATGGAAAGAACACAGATCTAAGGTAAGGGGCATGGATTGGATGAAGCCGTCCAGCTCTAGCCGTTATGTTCATGGATTACCTGGGAATACTTGGTGCGAATGGTACCCTGGTGACCATTGTAAATGTATACCGCTCCAGAGTTCTCGTTCTCCACAGGTGAACCAACGATCACATCATTAAAGCCATCCATGTTGATGTCTGATAGGGCTGCAATTGCTGAACCAAACCGAGCATTTCCAGTACCTTCAGGTCCTTCAAGGAACTGGTGCTGATTCAAGACGCCCTTGCGAAGGGAGAAGGAAGGGTTGCAGCCAAGTTTTCAATGTGTATCATTAACATTCAACGCAACTATGTGAAGGCAGACAGGGATTTAATCTTAGAATTGATGATTCTCTATTTTGTGATGAGAATTACAAATAAAAATTTTCACTAATTAAGGTCACAAGACACCTGCTCCTAAGCCAAGATTAAAGGAGGTAATAATTCTCTTTTTTTGTACCTGAAAAACCTACATAAAATGTCTGGCCTTCTATCTCCACTTTCTCTTAGTATTGGAACTGTTACCTCTTTCCAAATCTTTGATTTAAAAACTTTCTGGTGAAAGGCTAATATCGTGAGTGAAATTAAGGTAGGTACAAAGCACAAGGAAACATGATCATTTAGATCTCACTTATTGCTGAATGGTGACATAATTATAATGGGTAGGAAGTGGAAAATGAAGTCACTATCACTTCACGACAAGCAACACAAAATGGTTCTGTGCAAAGGAAAAGGCATTTTCTTTTATAAAATAGTTTTTCCTTCAGATTTTGTGCTCAAGTATGAAAATATTTAATAGCTTTGCAAGAAAGCAAAATGCCTCACCTAGGAAACTGGGTCAGTGTAGATTCTTTCTCGTTTATAGTAATTTTATAAAGATTAATTAATTTTCTGAGATAGAGGAAGCATGAAGAGATAGTGTTAGGCACTGGAGAGGTGGCTCAGTGGCTAAGAGCCTCTTTGCTCTTGCAGTGGACCTGTGTTCATTTCCCAGAACCCACAGTATTTCCCAGCACTCCATTATTTTAACTGCTTGTGTTAAAGGGTCAGTTTTTACGTTAATATATAGTAAGTATCAAACATATAAAATATCCCAACAACTAAGCACAACTGTCCCTGCCCCCTACACCTATCTGGCTTCCTATGTCAACCACTGCCTTTCATTTGCTTTTATTGCTGTCCTTGCAGAGCTCCAGATTCCTACTGAAATGGATTTAGAGTTCTGTCGACAAGCTGGAAAAATGATGCCTTCTCTCCTTGAGTCAGCTCAGTTTTATGGCAAGAATCTGAAATTCCAAGGATTGGACGTGTACCTAACTGTGACACCAAGCACTGGAATTTTCTGGCAAACTAATGTAGAAAGCATTCTAGGTCATCTGGAGGTTGCTGGAGTTGCTGGGACAATTGTTTTCACTGGGAGATGAAGAGGTCAGCGTGCCCAGTGATTACCCTCATTTCAAAGAAATGTCACAAGATGCTATAAAAGTAAACCAATATTTATATTTATGTGTATGCTAAAAAATTATTTGTGCTTATAATGGCTTCATTTGAATAGGAACACATACCCAAAGATCTCTTATGAAAAACACTATATATTAAACTCCATGCCTTTTAATGTCTTTTTAAAAATTGTAACAGTGGTGACTCCTTGAATTTGATTAAATACATATCATACTATGCATGAAAATTATTGATTATTCTAGAATAATAAGCATCCCTCAAATTTTAGATGAACTTATTTATCGGTACTCGAGTCAGTTAAGCTGTCTGTTTGATGTTGATGTTTACCTTTGTGATGGTGAAGAGGTAGACCTTTCCCTCTTCCTTCTTGAGGTCATTCATGTACATGGGAGCACCTACCAAGAGCACGTCTGTAATGGTGTCTTTATCCACATCAATTGAACACAGCACACTACCAAAATAGGAGCCAATCTGGAGTAGCAAAGCATATTCATCTTAGGAGTCATATTATCACATATGTATCCTAGCACATGCAACTCTAGGGGTTTCTGATGCCAATGAGCAAGAGACCACATTCAAAAGAGGAACCTGTAATAGCTACGTGAGCTGTGATTTAGAGGAAGACAGCAGGGACAGGGCCAGCCAAGGACAGCAAATAACCATGTTCCCATGAAAAGCAAAACAAAAACTGTTGTAATAAAGATGCCTTATCAGAGTGTAGGGAGGGGGTGGAGGGGTCAGGGAGGGAAGTATCATTTGAATAGGATCTTAAGGACAAAAGGAGTTTTCTAGGTGGAGGGAAATATGAATGATGTAATGCCAGTGGTGTGGTCTAGCACAGATCATGTCGCCTGGGAGAAAAGATAGGAGAACTAGGTAGAGATGAAGTAAAATTAGAAGGGCTGGGGATCTGAATGCCATCCCATCCAGCAATGTTCAGTGAGTGCCTGTGTGAACATTTCTTAAGGATTTAAACATTAATAAATGATTTCTTCTGTGACACTGTCATTATTTTTTTTCTCAAAATAGAAACACCATTCTTTAAACTACTAAAGAGGAGACAAAAGCCTGATTTAATAGCTACTTTGTGACTAGTTTGTGGCTCCCTTACTCCTATAAAATCAATGGCAAGAGAAGGGTCAGATTTAATCCCAGTGAACCTTCTGTTGTTAGGATTTAACATAGACATGGGAAAATTCAGATGACATTCCCAAACACAGAGGAGCCATTCAGTAAACACCAGCTTCCACTTTGCCCACTCAACTGTCCACCTGCCCCAGTTGTCCGTAAAATTAATTTCACTTGCTAGAAATGATGCTTACCTGGTCCCCTCTGTGAGACTGAATCACTGTGACAGTGCCATCCTTGTTGACACTGTACAGCACTATCTGGCCAGTATAATTTGCCCGAGGAGCGCCAGCAGCAAAGTGGACACCATTTTCAGTAGAAATTGCAGCCACAGAGTAACCTAGGAGAGAAGAAATTCTGGAGTAAGCATCCCTCACTGTCTCAGCCAGAGAGGGCTTTTGAGGTAGCAGGGATGCTCAGAAGTCTTGATGTTAGAAGTGATGATCACTCATGCTCCTGAGATGAATTGTCCTCACCTTTCTTTGTAGCTCTTACTACCTTATATAGGCTCTCAAGTTAAAAAGCTCTCCCTTGATCCTGGGTTGTTCTCATCAGCTACCTCTCAAGCCTGGATTACTGCTAATTTTAATTGTCAACTTAACACAATCTACTGTTACCCGAGAAGGGCATTTCAGTGAGGGTTTGTCTAGATTCAGTGTTCCCCTGGGCATATCTGGGAGGAATTAGGTGGATTATATTACGTGAGTAGTTGAGGTGGAAAGACCTGCTCACTGTGGGTGACACCATTCCTTAGGCAGAAGATCCTGAACTGGGTAAGAGTAAAGGAAGTGAGCTGGGAGTAAGCATATATCCATTAACTCATTTCTCTCTATTCCTGATGGTGTATATAATGGGACTGGCTGCTTCAGGTCCCTGCTGCCTTGATTCCCCACAATGATGGACTATAACTTGAAACTGTGAGCCAAAGAAATCCTTTCTTCTTTAAGTTGCCTTTGTCAGTGTATCTTACCACAGCAACAAGAAGCAAAACAAAGACACTGGCCTTTAACAAGTGTTTAATGAATGAACAAATGAATTGAAATAGTAAAGTTGCTTCATGGAAAGAGCATAGGTCCTGGAGTTAACAGAGTTCTAGGTGTAAATTCTGAATTTGTCATTTGCTAGGCTGTTGAAGTTGATAAAAATTATTAAGGTCACAGGCTCTCAAAGGATTTTGGAAGGGTTTGTGTAGATAGAATACAGATACTGAACATCACTGGATGCTTATCATATGAACAACAATAACAAACAAAAAACAAAAACCCCTAAGAACTTTAAAACAATAGAAGGACACTAGTTAGTGTATAGCATTTCAGGAACAACTTCTGTTGTGGAGAAACAACCATGTTCCAGAGATATCTGCCTGAACAGATTTGTGTGTTTTAGAAACAGTGGAGTTAAATAACATCATCAGTCACATGAGCTTAACAGACCTCCACAGAGATTTGTGTGTAAAACTCAGCTTCCCTAACTTATGGGCTGAGGCCTGACTGCCAAAGAGGTAACATCTGTGAATTAAGAACACGTAAGCAGAGGACAGAGGCTCTGCTGAGCTGACCTGAGAGTTTAAAGAAAAAGAACCTGAGTTGTCTGAGCTGACCGCTATTGCGCCTCACCTAAAAACGAACTGTGGTTTCTATCCTGCAGAACGTGCTCAAAGGCTTGTTTAGGAAAGATCAGGTGCTCACGAGACGTCTCCTGGACAACTGTTCCACTCCAGCCAAAAGCTCCCACTGCACCTAGCATCAGAATATCCTGAAACAATTGAAGAAATGAAGATTAAGACAAATCACCTTTAATGCAAAATAATTCAGGCTAGTCAAAACATTGAAATAAATGGTCAAAATTTAAGGAAATTTTCACAGTAAGCTATATATATATATCTGTTTTGATTTTACTGGAGAACTAGCTTACCATGAGCTATGCCAACAGTTTTCACCCTTTCATAGTGTCGCCTAAGACCATTCTATATATCAGATATTTACATTATGATTCATAACAGTAGCAAAATTGCATTTATGAAGTAGCAACGAAAGTAATTTTATGGTTGTGGGGTCACCACACCACGAGGAACTGCATTAAAGGGTCTCAGCATTAGGAAGGCTGAGAACCACTGAGCTATACCCTCTTGGAGGAGCTTATGATAATGCATTATGTAGAACTCTTTGCAGTAGGCCATGGCACAGGATGGACGCACAGTCGTCTTCAACTCAAAGGCACACTTTTGAAAATGCTGAACCTTTCAGAACTTACAGAAGAAACAGATGAGAACTTCTCATCCCACATACTCACAGGAAAGGCTCGTTATGAATAGGAGACACACTAAAGCAATAGAAAGTACTGATGTCAGAGGAGGGAGGAGATGCTGCTCTTCCCTAGCATGTCTTGGGAGACCTTCTGACCAGTTGTATTTCCAACTCTCTGTATGTTTGCTGTGTGTGTTGTATGCTTGGATGTGCATACTTGTGCACAAAGAGGCCAGAGGAGGATATCAGGCATACTGCTCTATCGCTCTCTGCTTCATTTCCTTCACATGGAATCTCTCACTAAAGCCAGCAAACCCCAGCGATCCTCCTATCTCTGCGCTCCCCACAGTGCTAGGGTTACAGGTGCATGGGCAGCCATGTGCCCCTGCCTGAATTGTGGGTGTTGGGATCCGAACTCGGGTTCCCATGCTTGTTCAACAAGCTCACTTACCCATTGAGTTATTGCTCTAGCCCTTACGGTCCTTCATTCTTTTCCTCAGTCCTTTTCAAATGTTCTCACATCTACATCCCTATAGCCCATGTGTTTAACCATAGCACAGCCACAAAACTCACCTGTAGCTGTGCCAGTCAATGTAGTGGACTGAAAACAAGCCTAAGTCAGGGATGGGAAAGACCAGACAGCTCAGGGTCTTCTGCATTGGTTCAAACTCAATTTAAATATCAAAGGCTACAAGTCCTTAGGAACAGGCTTGGCCAGAATGAAAGGTGTTATTGTTAAGGGTCTTTTTGTTGTTGTTGTTGTTTGTTTGTTTGTTTTGATATAAGGGAACAGGGATATGGTGATGTGGGGTTAAAAATACCAAATAGGGAAAAAAATATATCTCATTCTGAGGAAAAATACAAAATTTTGAGAATAAGCATAATGTAAGCACAGACTCTAAGCTGGGAGTATATGACTGGATAGTAACCTCATGAAATTGTGTGAAAATATTTCTGTACTATTGTATTTATTTACCTCTTTCTACAGGAAAGATTTCTAACTTTTTTCAGCATCTCTAAGTGTTGTTGAATCAGTAACATGAGCATCTTTTATTTCAGGCAAAGGATGAGCTGTTCTTGGTCCTTGGATCTGTTTATCACCCTCTGACTTCAAATTCATCCCTAAATATTTCCCAGAATCTTGTACCATTTTGTCTCTCATTCCCCTCCAATGTCCTGGGCAGGATTTGGGTCCAGACCTTGAGGGTGTTTCTGAGAACACTGGATGGATTCCCTGAGTTACCAAGACATGGACTCCAGGTCCACCTCAGGTCTCACAAATTGCCCATCTTCAACAATTCTCTGTCTCTGCTTGTGAAAAATGATACCATGGCAATGTGGTCTGTGACTGTGTCAGGGATAAAAAGGGCTTTTTTTTTCTCTGACAAATGTTTTAGGTAATTAATTGATTCCCATGAAATTCTTATAAGGATAATGTTTGGAATTAGTATAGTGTCTTTGCCATAGGAAACTCAAAGCTTTTATTATAAAAGGTATTTTCCTCTGACATAGGGAAGGAAGAATTTAACTGCTTTTTTTTTAAAGCTTAGTGACTGGGCCCAGGAATCTGAATCATTGCTCAGGGAATGGCTGTTTTTCCTACTGTGTCTAAGCTATTGTGTCTTTGTGTGTGTTGTGGTCAGTGGCAATATTGGCTTAAGCTTATCTGGTATACACACATTTTGAGGAGAGTAGTCTGCGCTGAATCCGACTTGTGCCATTTCCATCTGGAAGTGGTCTCCTCCTTGAACAGTACCTGGTAAACATCATTTTCAAAAATTATACTATTGTCAGCGATTTTAAATCAAAATTTAAAGCATGGACACACATCTGCAAGCATGTGCATTCATGAACACACACACACACACACACACACACACACACACAGACACACAAGTGTTTTCATGTCAATGTACAGCTGTAGGTTGGAGGATTCTAGGATGGGGAAATCACTAAAAAAGTGTCCAAAGAAGTGTTCAAAGTTGGCTTTGATCCCCCATTAAGCATTAATTTAATGTAATATTTATGCTGTTCTTGATATCAAATGAGCTTCAGCAAAGAAAAAATATTTAGTAAAGGTGGAAAATGAGATCAGAGTGTTCTTGTAAATTTATCATTAATAGTTAAGAAATTATGTAGGTTTTGCTTTTAAATACTGGTGTTCCTAATGCTCAGATACTTCAGATGCTTTAGAAAAAGAGGTGATTATTTTGTATTGTAGACTGGACTGATGGAAACCTGTGTCAGCCATTGGAAACCAAGACTCAAGACTAAAGAGTTTCCTAGCTGGGAAGTTTGTTTTAATTGCACTTAAGTATCTGTTGGTGTCTAACACAGCAGAACTCTATTGGTAGGCACATCCTTTTCAGTGTGGTCAGCATGGTTGTCTTTCAATAATGTTCCTGAGAAGCAAGCCAAATTCCTCCACAAACACTTCAATAGAACAAACTTTACTACTGTGAGGGGTCCTCTTGCTGAGGAAGTATGACAATAACACTGATTGCATAGACACAGTTTGGGGGAGAAATATGTTTATGTTCCTCAAAAGTCTTCGACAATAGAAAATGTCCAAGATCATTTCAAGTTAGCCTTAAATTGCATTGCAATTACTCCTACTCACAGACTCCCATCAAATTTGCTCTTACAGATACCTTAGTAGTTTTGAATAATTGCAGGAGGCCTTAGTTTTTGGTGATGATTTAAATAACTCAGAAATACCACACTTCCACAATAAAATTTGGGGTGGGACAGAAATTTCTAGTGCATCAACAGAAGATCAAGGTTGGACTGCAGAAGTGGACACCTTTGCAATACCTTCAAACCAGTTTCTAAGCAGGACCTGATATGTAGGTGCACAATTAAACACCAGTTTTATTGCTGAGTTATTTGGGTTAAGCACCTGGAACTAGGATTTGGGTTGCATGGAACTTTTTTTTAACCAACTGTGAAGAGTGTTCTAGTCCTCCAGGTCCTGCTTGTCTGAATGGGTGACAATTCTGCCCTGAGGATGTTCCAAGGCTATGGAGGTGCATCAGTAATGCTGTAATAAGTAAAGCCTTTCCCCTAACTGAACTGCTGGAGATCATCACTGAATTTTCAATATTTTAAAGGTATATATGTTTACTATAAACAAATTCAAGAATTTTTGAAATAACATAAAAAGAAAAAAACTATGATTATAATAGATATTGGTAGATTGTTCTCTCAAAAATTGAAAAAATTCATCATCTTATCAACCATGTTTGAGCTTTGCACCTCAGAGACTTGTAGAAAATTAAACAGTATTGATGTGTCATCTTTTAGGCAAAGTACAAAAGTGGCTGGATACATATTTTTCTTCTGCTCTGTAATCACATTTCTCTTATAAATCATGTAGTCATATCTTTCTTCCTGACATGTGACATATCTGAGTTAGTCTTTATGCACAGTCTATGAGTTAATATCCATATAGCAAATACATTATATGAAAATAACAAATTATCCAACAAGAATTATTTGAAGGGAAAGTTTGTGCAAGGCCTTTGTACCTTCAATGCTGAAAATGTGTTCTCCTAGTGTTCCAGCCTTTTCCAGAAGAGCGGCTTCATCGGCCACATTGAAAAAGAATCTCTCTGTTGGAGTACTAGCAATGGCTTTGATTTCCTTGATTAAATTTTTAGTATCAAGGGCATTTCTGTTTAAATACCCAAGAACCTTGAAAAAAGAGAGAGCAGGACAAAGGTCATTCTTCTTCTACCTCGATTTCCCTATCTGTTCATTTCAGGACGTTTCTGATCATCCCAGAGCTTCTTGCAAACACTCCCACAGCCACTTATTCAGTTGATAGGACTGAAAACGAGCAAGAAGCAGAGAGACTGTACAAATTGCAGACCGGGAAAGTGATGGAGTTCAGGACTGTGTACCCATCAACCGCCAGACATGTCCAAACAGAAGCCACTTACTGCTATGCCGAACCTCAATATCTCATCATCATTGCATTTCTGGATCACCTCTTTCAGCATTGACCCATCATGGGATTCACCATCAGTCACAACTACCATGACTTTCGTAGCTCCTGGGCGCCCACCAGAAGCTGGTAAATAAGCCTCGTCTCTGTGACAGATAAAAATGCTCATTATTAACAGAAGCTAAGATGTAGATCCCTGCTTTGAAGTAGAAATGGAAAATTAGCATCTTTAAGCACATCAGTCATAAACTATGTTGTGTTTTCCACATCAATTCCTTCTATGTCAATGCCGGTGTTATATTTAAGAGCATTGTTCTATTTGTAGCTTCTTCAGAGAAATAAAAAATATAATTCACATTTAATAGTAATTTCAAGAGATTTCATGGTGTGTGTGTGTATGTGTGTGTGTGTGTGTGTGTGTGTGTGTGTGTGTGTGTGTGTGTATTCTAGTTAGCTTTTTGTTGCTGTGATAAAACACCAAAACAAAAAGAAACTTGGAAGGAAAGAGTTTATTTGGTTTACGGGTTATATCTATCATCAAGGCAGAAACTGAGGGCAGGAGCTTGCAGCAAAACTATGGAAGAAAAACAGCTTCATCTGGTTTGCTTGGCTGCTTTTGTTATACAGCCCAGGCCGACCTGCCTAAGGATAACACTGCCCACAGTGGGCTGGACCCGCCCCCCAGGCATCAATTATTAATCAAGAATATGCCATGTAGTCATGTCCATAGAACAGTCTGATGGAGGTAATTCCTCAGTTTAGCCTTCCCAGGTGACTCTGACTCTGTCTTTGTCTCTGTCTCTATTCTCTCTCTCTCTCTCTCTCTCTGTGTGTGTGTGTGTGTGTGTGTGTGTGTGTGTGTGTGTGTGTGTGTTGTATATGGCCCATATATGTTTTCCTGTATAAATGCATAGATACACATGCATGAATGTGCATATGGAGGTCAGAGATCAATATTCAGTGTCTTTTTTCTATACCTCTCCACTTCAGTTTTTAAGACAAGGTCTCACTAAACCTGGATTTCAATGACTCAGCTATGCTGCGTGGCCAGCAAGCTCTGGAGTTGCATCTGTCTCTCCCCTCCCCAGTTCTAAGCATACAGACATATACCACAGCACCTGGCTTTTATGTGGGTTCTGGGAATCCATGTAAGCTCCTCAGTCTTGTGGAGAAAGCACTTTACCCACTGGGCAATCTTCCAGCCCCACCCAAACCCTATATTTATATTTAAAGAGTCAAATCTATTAATCCATTTTCTTATATTCCCTTTATATTTGATACGGCACTTATAAAAAATACATGATCCGTTTTAAAAAATGTCTAAAATTATCATTAAAATCTCATGTACATGCTTAATCCTTTAATGCTTTCATTTTTTTGTATTTTGTATTTTCTTTTCTTGAGATAGGGTCTTGCCATGTAGCCCAGGCTAGAATCATAGGCATACACCAATATGCCCAGGTAGATTGAAAATTTAATTCAGCTAAAATCTATTTTGATGCAAGAAGTAAGGTACATTATTCAGCTTTATTTTCTTCTATATAGACAGCCAACCAACAAGTTATTTCTCTCTGTCTATTAGAATCTCCATGACGTTCTTCCTAGGGGATGCCACCTACTTCATAGGGTAAACTATCAGCTAGCTATGTAATGATTTCTGTTTCCCGTTCATCCCTTCTGTCTTCATATTTATGTCTTCAGTGCTGGCTAACCATCTGCCCACTTACCAATACTCTAATGCCAAGGTTTTTAAAGCTGATAAATCATTTTTGTTAGACAGAATATTTTATGTGTATATTATTAGGAAACATGGAAATGAAGAAGAAATATATTCCATATTTTCAGACAGACAAATTTTAATCACGGAGCTCATGTCATATCCTTTTTTTAAAAGTGACGTTTATCCTTTGTGGGTACAGTGTACACCAAGAGTGATTTGAGGATGGAACTGCCTCATTTAGTTTTTATTTCCTGAATTGTCCTATAATGGTAGGTGTTTGATGAAATAAAGTGTGTGGAAATAAGGGGATATTTACAGAAAGGTTATCAGAATTCTGTGTGTGTGTGTGTGTGTGTGTGTGTGTGTGTGTGTGTGTGTGTTCTGGTAGGTGATGATTAGAATTTGGGTGGGTCCTGATTTTTGTTCATTGTGAAACTGTGGTGGTAGTGGGGAAATTCAGGGCTTTAAAAAGGTAATAAAAGCCAGACAGGCCACACACACCTCAACAAATAGTAATCATGCCTTATTTTGGAGATGAAAGCTTAACAGGCCTCCAGGTTCCTTCCTGGTGGGTAGGCCCCAGCTACATTCTCTGCTGAAGACTGAAGTCCTCTGAGATTATCTTGACAACATTCTTTCCTTAGTCTGAGTTACTAGACTGGAACGGGCTCTCCACTCAATGACAGGTGACTCATTTTTATGGCCTGCAGTTTATGAGATGGTCAAGCCCCCAAAGAGCTAGAGACAGAAAGACGAAGACAATCGCATCTTCTCATATGGACAGTGTCTTTTAAGACATATGAAGAAAATCTCACCAGTTGATGAAAGCAGGAACTTCAGTATACATACAGAGAAAAGGAGGGGACAGATAAAATAGGTAATGAGGAGATAGACGTGGCAAATTTCATGATGGCCAGCTATGTATCTTAGGAGAAGTGGGAAGAGGTAAGGCAGCACGGAGGGTTTTGCCTGATGATGGCGTGAACAGACACCAGCTTCATGAGCAGTGAAGAAACAGAATGAGGCTGCTTTAGGGCACGATGAATGTTCTGAGATGGTACTCCCAATAAAGACGCTCAACTTCAGTGGGATGCCTGACGACTTTGGGGAGCGAGCTAAGAGATGACACATAGCAATGGGGGAGCCCACACAGGGTTAGTCCTCACACCAAGGGTAAGGACATTGTTCCTGAAAGGACTGTGGAGGAAAGAGGTCTTTGTTCAGTGACGAAAAACCAGGAGTAGGAGCCCAGGAAGAGGCCAGAGTTGGTGGCAATCCCAGAAGTTTATGGTGTTCCATGAAGACTGAGTTCAGAGCAGCAGTGTATGTCTGCCCTTATCAAATGCTCAGAGGTGCTATGGGCGACGGGCTTGAGGCTAGCTGGTGCAGAGACCATGTTCACCTAGGGGCAGAGCTACAGGCTTTGCAGAACAGGCAAGAAGAATCACAGACAACTTGTTTTAATGACTTTTGAAAGAATAAAAACAGGAAGTGGAAAAGGTTGTGAGCAGGTTTAAGAGCAGGCACATTATTCTCATTTTTAAAAAATGACAGGCAGACATTTAATAAAGTGTCTAATAAAGCTTACAGAGCAGAAAAAGAGAAACTGAGGTAAGAAGGAGGTGGATGCCATACAGTTGTAAAATTCACACCCCTGTGTGTTGCAGCAGGAATAATAATCTTAACGTTTAGATTCTTGTGCATAATGCACAATGAGCTTCATTAACGTGTACAAAATACTCTATTAGCTTTATTTGTTTGAAGTTAATATTAACAGTGGTAGAATCTTTCCTTTCACACTATTTTAATCTAAGACCTTTGTATTTTATGCAATTCATGAACAATCATATCACATCACTCCGTCTGTCTGACCATCCCAGACCATGGTGTGTGAACTCAGTTCCCCTGTACCATGTCAAGGGACACATGTCACAGAAAGCTCAGGCTTGTCTCTGCTGGTTACTTTTGTTTTGACTTTTTCATTCCTTTCTCTTACTTTGAGCATTTTGATGTTGTCAAAGGGTTGACTCGATAGCATTAAAACTTACCTTGCAAATTTGATTGCTTTGAAGGTATTGGTGAGGTCCCCACCGTATTGGAAGGTTCTGGATGTGGCTTCAACCATTTCCTCTTTGGTTTTGAAAGTGTCCAAGTTAAATATAACTCTTGGGCTATTGGCATATTGAATTAATGCCACCTTCAAAAGAGAAGTCTATTAATGATCATTAGCTTATAAACAACTTATATTTAGCCAATATAATACGAAAGGTGAATTTAGATGTGTAGTCTGATAACTTAAAGAAACCAAATACAATTCTGTGCTTGAAAATCATTCTTCTTTCTGTGGAATTATCTTTGTTGGAGGTCTTCAGTATGTAACAGGAGCATGATTGCCACGCAAGACAATCTGTTACAGCTTGCACTTTGGTTCAGAAATAACTTGAGATTCTTAAAGCACTTCCTTAGTATATTTAATGCAAAAGAATATTAGGTTCTGCTTTCTGGTGCAAAGATGAAAGTAGATACAAATAAATAAACTTTCTAATTATCAATGGATACTAGCTTGAAAACAACTATAAGCAATCATAGATGGAGGGTAATATCTCAATAGTTTTGAGTAGTTATGTAACAGAGTCACAGTTGAATTGAAAAAAAGCTCATGTATTCCTAAGCTATGTACCTAGTTTAACTGACTGTTAGAGCAAGGGTGTTAGCTATCCACGTGGGGCAGGGAATCTCTGGCCTTCAGAGTATACACAGTGGAAAGAACCTTATTTGAGGGAGCAAACAGAAAGATAAACTTCTGAACAAGGTATCTAGGGGACAGTTTCTAATACTGTAGACCAAGGAACTTACATCTTTCTATCTCTATGCCTATTTCTGAGCATTAGAAGAATTCTCCCAGCCCTGGAGATGGGATCGTGTGAGCAGGAAACAGGGGTGAGTGTTGAGAGGCTCTCTGGAAGACATAAGACTCATAAGAGGTAAGACTACAAGGGATTCGGAGGGACAGCCCTTGATGCCTGAGTCCAGTTTGTAGTTTTGCCTGGGAGGAGGTATGACAGCCACTGGGAAGGCATGAGAAACACGGTGATCATCCTATACATCTTACTATAAGATAAGATGTGCAACTGATTCTAAACTAACTGAGGATATCAGCCAGATACGATCCTATGACACAGCCGTAGACCTGAGTGCAGAGAGGAGGGTTTAAAGATAAGGTGTATATCAAATACGGGCCATAAGAAGAGAGACTAAACTCAGCTACCTCTAGAGAGGAGACAATAGATTGTGGTGGGAAGACACAGAAGAAAGTCGAGAATTCTGGAGACTATTAAATCAGCTGGGACAGGTATGGTAACTGATTTAGAAACAGGAAAGAAAGAGACAAATGGGGACAGTTTCTTCTTAAGGAGATTTAAAGGTGGTGTTCTCCAGAAACCAGGGTGACATGTAGCCTTCATTAATAGAAGTTTCTAGTAAAAAGCCATAGTGGAACTTTCATGGTCTCAGAAGGCTGTTTGCCCACTCCCTTGGTATGTAAAATCAACATCAAAACTACATATATTACTTCTCATACTGGGTCACCTTGCCAAGCCTTAATACATGGGGAGGTGCTTAGTCTTACTGCAACTTGATATGCCATGTTTTGTTGATACTCATGGGAGACCTGCCCTTTCCTAATCAGAAAAGGAGGAGATGATGGGGGGTAGGCATAGAAGGGGTTGGGTGAGGGACTGAGAGGAGAGGAGGGAGGGGAAACTATGGCTGAGATGTAAAATTAATTAATTAATTAATTAATTAATTAATAAAAATATAAAAAAGAAGATATAATAGAATCCAATTGAGACTTCTCAAAACATAGAAAATTTCAAATTATTGAAAATATTTTCTTATGTAAAATACAAGTCAGATTATACTAGATTATAAACAAAAGGCTATAAACTAATATCAGAATTATGCAGTTATTTTTGAATTTCACAGAATTCAGATAATTCTTTTACAAGCAAAGTGTAAACTTGAGGAATTCACTATTGATCAAAATGGATATAGGGAAAAATATGTATCTAATTTAAAAATGTATTATTTATTATTTTTTATTTATGTATATATGTGTGTGCCTGTGTGAATTTATGTGCACCATGTGTGTGTGTGTACAGGTGCCTGTAGAGGCCAGGGGACTTTGGATCTCCTGGAACTGGAGTTGTAGGCTGCAGACTGAACCTGGGTCCTCTGCAAAACAGTAAGTGTTCTTAAACACTAAGCCATCTTTCTATTCCTATAAAGGTATTATTAATAAACTCATGGGTTAAAGAATTACAATAAGCAGCTTTTAGAAGAGATACTAATGTTATACACCATTCTTTTGATAACTCTGTCAAAAATAAAACTAAAATCAGCAACACTGAATGAAGCCATGGGCCAAATACTGACCTTAGAAGTGTATGTTTCAATTCATTTCCTAGGTCACATTAAATGCATTAAAAATGAAGATCTGACAAATGAAAAATTTAAGACTTCACATCTAACATTATTCTCCCCCAAAGGAGAGCCATGTGCTCATTTATGATTTTTGATGTCCTTACCTGTGTCTTTTTAGGTCCTATATCCAGGCCTTGTACAAATTTTTCCAAAAAGTTCTTTACCGCCTCCCAGGGATAAATACTGTTTGATTCATCACATACAACTACAACATCTACAAGGGAAGGGCAAGCTGCACAGGGAGAGACAAAGGAAGAACACATTTTCCAAAGATAAGTCAAACTTCACCACCATATATGCTTCAGACTTACAGAGAGGTTGGGTTGGACTTGGTACCCCTTCCCCCCGTTAATCGTAAGGCGTTGCTCAGACATCCTTCACATTCATATCTTACCCTGAACTGCAGGTGAAAAGCTGGTCAAGGACTGAAAGTCTGGACTGATGTCAGAACAAATTCCAGTCGCATAATACTGATTTCCACACTGATGTGCCCACAGAGGACCACAGGTCTTCAAAGAAAGGAGAAAATAATATACATACACAGGAAATGTAACCTTCTACTTCTCCTTTTATGGAATTAAGACACCATATCCATTCTTTCCCAAGATATTAGGATTCACCAACTCACACACACATATGTGTATATATACATACATATGTACACATGTATACACATGCATGTATATATACATATATGTGTATATATATATATTTGTGCATGTGTGTGCATACATATATGTTTTACTTGTACTTATGTCTTTGTGCTACTTTTGTGCTCAGTGCCCTTGGAGGCCAGAGGAGGATGTTGGCTTCTGGGAATTGAACCCAGGTCCTCTGGAAGGACAGCCAGTGGTCTTAATCACTGAGCCATCTTGCCATCACCTGATTTACCAATTTTACAAAACTAGCAAGTCAAAAATGCATTGGAAGGCCTGGAGAGATAGCTCAGTGGTTAAGAGCACTGGCTGCTTTTCTAGAGGGCCCAGATTCAATTCCCATTCTTCACATGGCAGCTAACAACCTTCTATGATTCCAGGCCCAAGACATCTGACATCTTCCTTTGGTTTCCATAGGCACTGGCAAGCACCTTGTGCACAGACATACATTCAGGCAAACATTCATATGGCTGAAATAAAAATAAACTCTCAAAAATCTTCATAGAATGTGTTTGAGGGACCATGCTCTGGGAAGGCTAAAAAGACAAGAAGAAAGCAACAGATGGCCTGCTTCATGATGGGCCTTCAGGGAGAGAGATGCGGCCATCGGGGTAGCTGTCAATGGAGAGAGAGAGACCATGGGTTCCCCCACCAAACTACTTCTAGAAAAGCTCCATAAGAAAATTGAATGCAAAGTTGGCTTTTCGTCTCTCAGGTATGTGGGTCTCACATGACTCATTTATAAAATGAAGATAATCAGGTCTTTTTGCTTGTAAGATTGTAGAGACTGAATGTTCAATGATCCATAGATATAAAATACTCAGAACAAGTCAAGGGAAAGAGTCATTACTGCAGTAGCACATCATTGTGGTTGTCTGAGCATGGGGGTCTCCTCCTGTCCCATTCATCTAGGACTTCTCAATAGGAACCAAAAATCTAGCTGCCTCTAAGGACAGGTAGGGGTCCTCAAGAGTGCCTGAGGCCAGTATGGACACTATGGCAAACAGAAAACACACTTCTTATATTCAGGGGCAGGCCACCGTGTCCCTGCTCATGTGATATTTTAAAACCCTTTGTTTTTCTTTCTGAGTTTATGAAGGCAAATTTTGAGTAAAACCTCATTCTTGTAAAGCACATTAACACACAAAACAACACAATTGAGGTAATGAACTGCTACCTTTTACCCTCGCTGTAAACTATGGTGATATTTTATTTGTATTAAAATGTTATTTGTATGTTAATAAATAAAGTTGCCCGGGGGTCAGAGCTATTAGCAAGCCATAGGAAAGCAGGGCAGTGGTAGCGTACGCTTGTAATTCCAGCACTTGGTAGGCAGAGCTGGATAAGTCTCTGTGTGTTCAGGGATACAGCCATTATTGGATACACATGCCTTTAATCTTAATACCAATCCTGGAAAACCTGGAGGCCTATACAGACAGGCTGTGAGGAGGCGGTCATGTGGTTGGGTTTACAACCAATGAGAAGGCAGGACAGGAACTCTATATAAAGACTTTAACACAGGGGTAGCTCTGGTTCGGAGAGGTAGGACCACCGCAGGAGGAAGGGTAAGGTTTTAGCTCTTAGCTCTGACCTCTTGGCTTTCTTCTTTGCATTGGTTCTGTGTTTCTTATTTAATAAGAAGGTTGGATACATCTACATTAAACTATTTCTTTACTGTGAGTTTCAAGGTCCCTAGCTGGCTAGTATTTATCTCCTTGCTCAAGCATACATATCCTGACTCTTACTATCTCCACGAACACAGCACCAATTCTTCATTTTCATCAGCCCTTTGATGAAAGCTGAGAACTGGTGATTAAATAATGATTAAAGCACACAGGAGACATTAGACTCTCTAAAATCAAATTTTCTAGAGGAAGAGAGGTCAAGTCTAAAGATACTGAAAGTTACCAAAAGAACTTCACATTATATAAAGCTGTGACCCATGCATAACAGAGCACTAAACTTATGGACAGATCAATTATTTAAACTGAATAGAGAAGTGTGAACTTATAGGAAGCAATTGGAAAAACAAAAGGAATCTATTTGACCCAGTTTAACTGTTAGTGGCTTAATCCTAGCAGCTGCGCTCATATTTCATGCTCAGTGAGCAAGCACGGTTTTCCTGCCATAAAGCTGGAACATTTTGCCAATTAGGAAAAAGTCATTGTTGCTTCTGGCTAGCGCGCACGCGCGCGCGCACACACACACACACACACACACACACACACACACACACACACACAGTAGAGGACAATCATTCATACCCATGTCTGCATCCTCAGTCGCTTTATCACCTTGGCAGGTAACTCATGATACATGCAAGAAGAGAAGCTCTTTTTCATAAGCAATGGAAAACAGAATGAAGAAGCAGAAGTTACAATACGCCAATTGTTACTGCCAAAGCATTCTTGCTTTAAGCCCAGAACTTAAGAAGGTTCAGAAATATGTGATGACTGTTAGTCTTTTCCACATAACTCTTAAGAGGAGTTCAAGAGCCTGACCTTTTCAATGTGTAAAGAAAGTTGGGTCTTTTCCTCTTCCCAGCTCCTTTACAGTGACTACTAATTCTCTTTGTTAAAAATTTTTATTGTATCTAGAATTAAGGATTAAAACTTTTAAAGTACATCTACAGTCCATAATTCTCAAGATATTCTTCTGGTTTAGCCAACTGCAAAAATAAACAAAAACCATAAAACCAACTCTATTATAAAGGTCTCAGAATATAACAAAGCCCGGAAGATACCTTGCAATAGTTGTTTATACACTGCTTTGACACATATGATAACCAATATTTAATTTATTTAGTGGTAATAGTTTTTCTAAATGTAAATGTTTGTTATTCTAAATAAAATGACAATATTGGTTACAATTTTTTAAATCAAGTTTTTTTTTTTTTTTTTAAAGCAAGATTTTTGGTTAACAGGTCAATAGCACAGACAGCCTGGGCCTTTGAAGACAGTATTTCAGAGCTGTCTTAACTAGACTATTTTTATATGAGCCAGAGGAAATTTCAAATGTGATTTAGTTTTTACTTGTCTTCTTGTCTTTCAACTTTCTAGGGGATGGAGAGGGTATGTGAATTTTTTTTTCTCCCTGTTTGTATAGTCAAATATTTTCAGGAATTTCTTATATTAAATCGGAGCTCAGAAATTCTTCTTGCCTTCAGAAAATTTCCTTTCGTAGCTCACTAGAAAATAAGTGACAGGACAGGCAGATAAATGACATGATAGACAGCTCCTCACTTTACATCGGGTCAGAGTAGCCAGAGCTTACAGCAGCGATTCAAGACAGAAGAGCTGCCGGGCGCTGGTGGCACACGCCTTTAATCCCAGCACTCGGGAGGCAGAGCCAGGCGGATCTCTGTGAGTTCGAGGCCAGCCTGGGCTACCAGGTGAGTTCCAGGAGAGGCACAAAGCTACACAGAGAAATCCTGTCTCAAAAAACCAATAAATAAATAAATAAATAAATAAATAAATGAATGAATGAATGAATGAATGAATGAATGAATGAATGAATGAATGAATGAATGAATAAATAAATAAATAAATAAATAAATAAATAAATAAATAAATAAATAAAAAGACAGAAGAGCTGCTTGGCTTTGAACCCTGCCTGCTGAATGGAAGGTGCCTGCACATGCTCCCTGAGGAAGCAGAAACAGGGAAACAGGACCTGAGATTTTGATGGTATCCACACCTGCTCCTCACACCTCTCAGGGGAAAAGGGCTTCTTCTGAGGCTTCCCGTTTCATCGAAAACATTCTATTGCTTGCTGAATACTCAAGAAGGCTCCACATCAACACTGTTACGTCTCCTTGGTTATCCAAGGAGCATAGTTGATCCAAAAGCAAACTTCAATGTTTAAATCTCCAGATTATATTTGATAAGGGGGATGTCAGGGGGACACTGACCACAAGTTCTCTCCAGAGGAAGGAGGATCTGAGAGCACAACACTCACTAGAAAGCCACCGGTCCCCGAATTCCTGGTGAGGGTCAAACCCAGGCTCATGTTGGTTTTTATCTCTGTAACATTTGAGATGCTTGTTGAATCTTTAGGAGAGAAAGAGATGTTTTAAAGTATTAACTATTTACCATTCACTTAAGCTATAATAAAACCAAACAGGCAGACTCATGTTTCTACATAGGTTTGAATGTGGCATAACGTGTCTAGAAACTAGCATTATATGATGAGTGGGGATGTGGTGTCTTCAGCCACTCACTACTCACTCCCGTGTGAAAGGCAATTAGGCAGCTGCACTGTCAGGGTATTTAAATATGTGTTTTTAAAAGAAAATGTTCTCATCAAACAAAACACACAATGAGGGTACCATGCATTTCTGTTTGCCACCTTGTCTCCTGCTCTCTCTCTCTCTTTTTTTTTTTAATTGGGCTTGCTTAAAATAGTCTTAATGAACACCATTTGATAGACTCTGGCTCAAAGCAGTAGGAGAATTTCAAAACAAAACCATGGGACCAGCCAGGTAAAATAAGAAATGAATCTGTCCCTCCAAGCTATGGCACCAACCAGTACCTGGCTGTTTTCTCTCCTGAGCCACTAAACTCCATAATTCACCTCTGTAACAAGTTCTCTAGTTTCAGGCAAGCCAGGGCCACTACTTTCGTTAATCCTCAACTGGGTGGCTTCCCGCATTTCCCAGGGCGACTGCTGTAAGACTTCCCTCTTCTCAACACTCCTTCCCTCAGCCTCAGTGAGAAGCTCACACACTGTGGCCATGAATCACACTCTCCAGGGAGCTTGGTTCCTCCACACTGATGAGGGTTACTGCTAGGACTTCCCCCTCCCTCCTTCCTGTCTGTCTTAGAGGAGGAGGTGTTCTCCTCAGACTCATTCTGCCAGGCACCAGTGACACCTCTCTGGCTAGATTAAACGCTGCACTGTCATTGGCTAATACACACTTCATTTGTACCACCCCTTCGTAATCTCTGCCATTTTCTGGAAATAATTCTTAATCTTGTTACCCCATTGAGCTGTCTTTCCACCTCTCCTGTATTACCTAATTTCTAGAAATGTAGACTGGCTATCAATCCTTGTATTATCTGTCTGTCTGTCTATCTATCTATTTATCTATCTCTTTATTACCTCCCAGCCCCACTGGACTTACAACTACGTTAGTTTGTTAGTTACATATGTTTTGGTAGAGTAAGAATTTCTTTGGTATAGAAAGAAAACAATGAAACTCCTGTGCATATGCTCTTATTTTTAAATTTATTTTTTATGTAAACATATTATCCATAAAGCAATGTGCCAGTCCATGTGTTAACTTAAAATTAAATATGTGCATGTCTTCTGAACTCCCTGTTTTATTCAAAAATGTTCTATGACCGTTTTTGCTGAATATCTGGCTATACCTCAACAGTGTTATTTTTCCTAGGCTATCTAAATAGTATAATTGACCCAAAAGCAAACCCCGATGTTTAAATCTCCAGGTTTTGTTTGAAAATAGGGGTGGGAAGACACTGACCACAGATTCTCTCCAGGGAAATGAGACTCTAGAAGAAAAATCTTACCAGAAGGCTACCACCTACGTGCTGAAACATTGAGATGACACAATGGCTTGAGGTGATACAATAACATGGGTGGTGTGTGGTTCCCTTTGGTTGATGCTTTTCCTGGAATGCTTGGGATAGAACCCAGGCCCTCACATATTCCTGGATCTACCATTCAGCTACACACCCAGTTGTTAAGTAAAATTTTTGAGTATCAATTCCATATATGATTGAGTGTTTAGAATTCTATCACCCACATCCCTTTTTATGTGAACGGAAAATGTGTACTCGGGCTTCACACTTCAATCCCTGTAGCATTTGACATCACTGACCATATGACTCATTGAAAATTGGCTTATTTAGCTCCTACTGTGAGGCAGAAAACATGTTACAAACTTGTCATATAGAGATGTGTAAGGGATACTCCTCTTCCTTTTTCTATCATGTGTGTGTGTATATGTGTGTGTATGTGTGTTTGTGTGTGTATATATGTGTGTGTGGGGGGGGGTGTCTGTGTGCATATGCCTGCACTTGGAAGCCAGAGGACAACTGTGGATATTGTTCCTCAGGCACCATTTACCTTTTTTTTTTCAGACAAAGCAAGTCCTTTACTGACTGAACCACCTCCCCAGCCATGTTTCTAATATTTAATAACTGTCATTGAAATCCTTTTTTTCTTTGAGTTTTTTAACAATGCTCTTTCTTATTTTATGCCTTGATTCTTGAGGACTTGGACTCAGCAATGTTTGTATTTTCATGGCTCTCCTGAGGAGCTAACCATTAAGCTGAATGTCCTTTTACTTCCTTCAGGAAATACTGTGTGGGATATTACTCTTTCAGCTTTCTAGTCCTACATCTGTATTAAATATTTCACATTGTAATATAACACACCTGCAATGTATGTAAATGAAATAGCAAATAATTTTAAGTTGTGTATTTTTATTAGAATGTAACTATTCAGCATAATCTGAAATATATAGTGTTTCTTAGACCCTTCAATCTCAGCTCCAGAAATATTGTGTTTTGTACATAATGGCTTATTCTAGAAAGAGGAGATAGAGAAATATTGATAGTCTCAGATTTCTGGCCATAATTTGAAAAATAAAAATGGTAGAAATCATTCCATGGTCTAAGGCAAATGTCCCAGAAGGCAGAACATTACCCATGAAGATTATTAAACCAGGTCTTCAAACTCATTTAAAAATTTAGATATGAACTGGTGTCCATATGATTAAATAAACAAAGGCCTAAGGCTATCTACATTTCTTGAAGACAAATTTGAGATCTTTTTGTCATTTTGTCTCAATTTATGACAAATGAGAGTTTGCTATTTGTAAAGAATCGCATTGCTAAGTACAACTCACTTTGCAGGTTCAGCTTTTCACAAGTGGCAGCGGGTACATCAACAGGGCACTTGTATACATCTCCCATTCTGTTCTCAGGAAAGCCACTCCATGGTGAACCAACCAGTAGCCTAGGAACAGGATGTTCTCATGAGTCATAGCATGCTATGGACAGTCTATTAAAGAGAAAACTGACCACAGGTCAGCAACATTACATTTCACTTTAATCTTATATAAATTCATAGTTCAAAGGTGTTCACTTATAATTTGACTTGTTTCCTCATAGCTGATCAGGACACTTAATGTCTGTGATATGTCTGCTTTGCTAAACACCCTGAGATGTCTCTCCACAGCAGCTAGAGAAGCATAATGCTTGCCACAGTATGAGCCACACAAGTAATTGCAGATTTTCTACTAGGCAGTTGCATTAATGCAATAAAAGTGACAGTCAAAAATAATTTTAATAATGTATATTAGCTCCACATTAAAAAAAATAGCATGTAGTCAGCATAAAATATTTCAATGAATTACTTTTAATTTTCTCCCACAAAGTATTTAAAATTTGGTGCATATTTTATGCTGAGAACACATATCAATATGCAAGCAACATTTTAAGAACATAAAGGACACAAGCAGTTAGATACTACTATATGTATTAGCAAAGTGCTGAAGAATGACATCATATTTATTCTTACCCAAGAGTAACAACAACTGACATTTTTGGAGTTCTTTCTATGCCTTAAGTTCTGTCACAGGCTGTGTTATTTAGGCAGCAGGTGAGGTATCTTTGTGGCTTTACGGCTCCTGCCTTTATAAAGCAGATATTTGCGGTAACACTGAACACATGTATCTTGGAGATCTCCTTACTGATTGCAATATTTTTGGTGCATATCTAGAATACAGGATGAGTCTGGTATTCACATCCTTCCTTTGGTTAGCTTCGTTTCCCTTCTAGGGACTCTGCTTCTCCTCCCTACAGAAATACTCACTAGATGTTTATGCTCGTATGGTACTGAACAGAAAGAGAGTATGTACTGTTGGATCATTTTTCTCTTATGCATATGTGTGCAGATGCACATGTGTGTGCAAGTGAGTGTGTGTGGGCCAGACAATAATCTGAAACACTATCAACCTCCTTTGAGACAGGATCTTTCATTGGCTAGGAACTCCTGAGTTAGACTACACTGGCTGGCCGGGAGGTCCTAAGGATCCACCTGCCTCAGCCTCTCTAGCACTGGTAACAAGTGAATCACCACGCCCAGCATTTTTGCATAGGTTCTGGGGCTCAGGGTCGTGCTTCTGAGACAAACACTTTATCAACTGAGCTGTTGCTCAACCCAATCAGCTTAATCTTCAGAGGCCATAGCTGGTTATGTATTGTGTAACAGCCAGTTACTAAGGAAGTATACTTGCTTTACTGTTAGTTGTGCTTTTTTAAGTTGAGAAGATTATCTGTGAAATTTTTCCGTGAGTGTTCTTTGCTAATAATTTGTCATTATCACTTACACTTTTGCTCCATGCTAAATGTTATGTAGTAGACATATAGAAATCCTGTCTACTAAATCCGGCATAACTATTTAACATACATAACCAATAAAACAATTATATGAGAGAGATGAAGGATAGGAATTAAGTTCTTCTGTGAAACAAATGTTAAAATAGTCAAAGGATGCAAAAAGAGACATAAAGGATGAAAATTTATACTTCAATAATATAATTACCTTATTCATTGCATAGAATTATTCTTAGAGAATATTCAGAATACTTAATAATTCAATTAACTTTTATTAAGGTTACAACTGAAAGATTTTGTCCTCCTAAAAGCAGATAATATAGTATTACCTATTAAAATGTTACTTGTACTCAACACTTCAATCACGTTGGGCACACAGGTTAAGGCTCTTGAACAGTCAGAAATCTGAGTGATGGCTATAACGTTGTTACAGTATTTATTTTAGTGGTGGGGAGCTGCTGGTGGCATTTGGCATGCATGTTTGAGCATGTCTGGTGTTCTCCATGACCACTTAGAGGAAGTTAGGAATCTCCTTTGTACTGTGAAAACTGTTTCAACAACAGTTCAAACCTTCTCCCTCTTTAGTAGTCTCTAGTACTCATTTACAGGGGGTCTACATAGCATTCTTTTGGTTTTCTTGCACAGACACTTCTTTAAAAATCAGGTGATATGCCTCTAATTTCCTGTCCAGCCCTGTCTTATTCTTGCATACTCCTGGGGTTGTAGAGTCCAGTCTTACTGAATTCAGTTTTCTAGACCAGAGTCTCTTATGCTTTCAGACATTCATACATGCCATGCCATGCCATTCCATGCATGGCAGGTTCTACCCATCAGCTACATCTCCTGTTGGATAATCCTCCTTCCAAAAAGCCATCTGGCTCTTTGAACTCTGAGGACTAGATCCTCCAGTAAATATGAAGGTTGATGAGGGCAGAGATTCTGTGCCTGTAGGTCTAAATATTTGCTGAACAAATGAATGAAAAAAATAAGCATTTCAGTTACTGATTGGAAGACTGTCTCAGTAAAGGAAAGGGTAATTAATAATCTATAATTATCTTTTAGCTGAAGGACATACTATTTTTGTCCAAGTAAAGGTGAAAATAAAGAGCCAATACACACACACACACACACACACACACACACACACACACACACACACACACACACACACACACTATGTGTGTGTATATACATACATATATATATATGTATAATTTAGTGTTACCTATTAAAATGTTACTTGTACTCAATGCTTCAATCACAGTAGGCACACAGGTTAAGGCTCTTGAAAAGTCAAAGAGAGCCCAAAGGAAGCATACACCGTGACTGTTCTGTTAGCTATTTCAGATTCAGTCTGTACCTTCTACTATGCGTCAAAATTATACTTCTAAGAAAATTAATGTTTTAAATTTATCTTTGAAATTTTCATACATGTGTACAACGTGTCTTGATCATAACCACTTTCCACTCCCAAGCCACCTCCCTTGTACCCCAGTGCATCCTTTCAACCTCCTTTTTAAAATCTCCTACTAATTCCAATTAGTGTTACCCATAAGCGCATGGGTGCATGACCCTTCACTAGGGTTTTGGCAGCCTACCAGTAGCCACACCCTGAAGAAAATAGTCTTTTCCTTGCCCAGCAGCCATCAATTACCCATAACTCATCTGCTAGGAGTGGGTTCTCATGCACCCTTTCCTCATCCATGATGGAATGTTGACTGGCTTGATCTTGTGTTGATCACGTAGAGATAGAACACAGCCGCTGGGAGTTGATGTTCTCGATGACTATGCAAACCCAGAAGTCATCATTTCCCAGCTTAACTCCCCATCCACTGACTGTTCCGTTCTTTTGCCTCCTCCCCATTCTGCATAGTTTCTTGAGTCTTAGATGGCGAAAAGTTGATACAGATGACCCATGCGAAACTCAGCACTTCGTGTTATTTTACACTTGGTACTTTGATCAGTTATGAGTCTCTGAGCACAAAGAAGCTTCTCTGGTCAAGGTTTAAGGGATGAAGGAAAGTAGACTGCGGAGTCTATTTAGGAAGAAAACAGCATCATGATGGTCAATCTTCATAGCCAAATTTGACTGGATCTGGAATCAGATGGAACCATAATCTCGACTGTGTCTAAGAAGCTTAATTCCTAGATGGTTGAACTGAGAAAGGAAGACTCATCCTAAATGTGGGCAGCAATCATCCATGGCTGAGGGGGCGGGGCTTTGATCCAATGGAAAAGAGAAATCTAGCTGAGTTCTAGCACTCATGACTCTCGGCTTCTTGACCAGAAATGAACTGTGACCGCCTGCCTCATGCTCCTGTGTTCACGCCTTCCTCACCATGATGGCTGTGCCCTCAAACTGTGAGCTTAAATGAACCATTATTCCTTAAAATGCTCCTGCCACGTGTGTTGTTAGAACAATGAGAAAAGTAACTAATGGAGTACCTTAAGACAAGCAGTTACAGCAAGTGTGGCTCTGGCCCTTGGCATTCTGGGAATTCCTGTTAATGCTGGTAAATCTTACAGTATTTTGGAGTAGGTATAAGGCTTTCCAAAAATTATCTTATTTAATCTCCAAAAACAAATCTGAGATTATATTATTGGCATTTTACAAATGGAAGTGTTGAGACAGAGAGATGAACAATTCACTCCTTATAAAATTGCTGGTCATGGTCAACTCTGCCCCTGTCTGAAGAACTGGTTTTTAACCTCCAGACAGCTCTCTTTCCTCTTCAGTGCAAGAAGCCCTAGGGTAGGCTTGGGGCTTGGGAAAGCTCTCTACATAGATGAGATGAGTTCTAGAAACTGGAAGCAGAGGGCCAGGTCACACTTACTGGGAACAGGTATACGGCTATGTAGTGCTGAAGGGAGCCACAGTTCAGATATGTGCATGCCATGGTCATCCTTGTGAGAGTACATATACACAGCAAGGGACAGGCCATGCTGTTTGCAATGACAGTCAAGGACAGAGCAAGTTCAGTAAATACCAGATTTGATCACACAGGTGACTTCTTTGATACACACCTCTTTAACAAAGGCACACTGAGGAAAGTTAAGTATGTCTGAACTAAAGTGCTCTGTTTCTCAGTGTCTCCAGCAGTAAGGATATAGCACCTGCTCTCTGCTAGTCTCCTTGAGAAGAAGCCAGAGATACTGGCTGCTTTCTCTCCCACTGAGAGCCCTGATGGGCAGCTCCCCTCACCTCCTCTCAGAATTCAGGATTAGTTAACCTTGAAATTAGAGAAGGGTTAAGATGCTACCATCACCCTTACTACTGGGAACATTGTGACTCTTTTAAGGTAAGCAGACACAAAGAAGAGGGAGAGGCATACTTCTGCTCTATCATATGCCACTCAATAAGGAGTAAATAAAAGCACTGAGATGTCAGGGAAAAAACAGAAATAAAGTTATTTTCTTCATCTGCTATCTTAAATTATTGAAGACAGGAGAAAGCAATACAAAACCTGGCTATTTGGGGTGTACCTGAAGAACAAAGGAGTCTTCGTCCCTAGTTCACGCATGACTCATTCTGTAAATATTATAGCACATTAGGTATCCACCTCCAGGCCAGCAATTCCAGGGAAGGTTCTAGACCACAGCCACGGCCTTTACTGGCAA